TGTGTGTGTGTGTATATGATGTGTGTGTGTGTGTATATGATGTGTGTGTGAGTGTATATGATGTGTGTGTGTGTCTTTGTGTATATGTTGTGTGTGAGTACCTCAGTCTGGACCATGTTAACCCTTCGTGCTCTCAGCTCTCGGACGCAGTTGTAGATGTCGACCACGCCCTCTCTCTCCGCCATGTCCAGCATGATGTCGATCACTATGAAACAACCTGTACGCCCCGCCCCCGCACTGACACACACCCACACAGTTTTATATTAAAGCTGCATGCTCAAAACAAACACCACTTTATGAAGCAGTAATGTGGGGTATATAGTGACTCATATTTAAATGTGTGTACCTGCAGTGCACCACGGTGGGGCCGGCAGTGGGGGGGTTTTGGCCTTGACTCGGCGGATGAAGCCCAGCAGGCCGTGGCGTGAAGCGGCACACCGTGATCGGGCCATCCGGTGAAATGAACTGACGGATCTCCCTGATCTCTGCCACGCCCCTCTGCAACAGAAAGTGTATATGATGCAGAAAAACTAGTCCATGCATTTGTTACTTCTAGGCTGGATTACTGCAATTCCTTATTATCAGGCTGCTCAAAATTGTCCATTAAGACTCTTCAGCTGATCCAGAATGCTGCAGCACGTGTTCTGACAGGAACCAGGAAAAGAGATCACATTTCTCCTGTTTTAGCTTCTCTGCATTGGCTTCCAGTAAAATCCAGAATAGAATTTAAAATCATTCTTCTTACCTACAAAGCTCTTAATGGTCAGGCACCATCTTATCTTAAAGAGCTCATAGTACCTTACTACCCCACCAGAGCACTGCGCTCCCAGAATGCAGGGTTACTTGTGGTTCCTAGAGTCTCCAAAAGTAGACTAGGAGCCAGAGCGTTCAGCTATCAAGCTCCTCTCCTGTGGAACCAGGTTCCAGTTTGGGTTCAGGAGGCAGACACCATCCCACATTTAAGAGTAGGCTTAAGACTTTCCTCTTTGATAAAGCTTATAGTTAGGGCTGGCTCAGGTGAGTCCTGAACCATCCCTTAGTTATGCTGCTATAGGCCTAGACTGCCGGGGGATTTCCCATGATGCACTGAGCTCCTCTCTCCTCTACTTTCTCTCCCTCTGTATGCAACCTTATCCCATTATTGCATGTTACTAACACAACTTCTCCCCTTTCTGGTATCTTGTGCTTTCTCGTCCCTCTCCTCTCTCCTCCTATCACTTCCTGCAGGTTTTCTAGCTCTGGAGCTGTGGAGTCTGGATCTGTGGCTGCGGGTCACCTGCTGCCCCCGTGTTCCTGCTCGACACCCTCTACTGCAACGACTATTGTTGCTAGTCTTATTGTTATTATAATCATTAACATTACGATGGTTACCATTAACACTATTATAAATATCTGTACCATTTTTCATTTAGTTTATAGCAACATTACCTTCGTTGTCTGTACCTCTGTGTGTATATTGTGTAGGCTTCCTCCCTCCCCTCTCTCTCCTTACATCCCTCTCTCTCTCTCTCTCTCTCTTTCTCTCTCTCTCTCTTTCACTCTCTTTCTCTCTCTCTTTCTCTCTCTCTCTCTCTCACCCCAACCGTCGAGGCAGATGGCCGCCCACCCTGAGTCATGGTTCTGCTCGAGGTTTCTGCCTCTTAAAGGAAGTTTTTCCTTGCCTCTGTCGCCTAGTGCTTGCTCTTGGTGGGAACTGTTGGGCTTCTGTAAATATCATCACAGAGTTCGGTCTAGACCTGCTCTTTTATGAAAAGCGCTGTGAGATAACTGTTGTTGTGATTTGGCGCTATATAAATAAAATTGAAATTGAATTGAAATTGAAAATACATTTCAAGTACATTTACATTTACTCATTTTATCCAAAGCGACTTACATGTGAGGAACAACTTAAAATCATCAATACAGCATCAAATACAGCACGAGATCTACAACTGACAGGGACTGGGACAGCTTTGTGTGAAGGGATAGCAGAGCCAGGCGGCGTTCGTTGGAGGAGCGTAGTGGCCCAGAAGGAACGTAGCCTTGGATTATGGAGTTTAGGTAGATGGTGCAGACCCAGGAGTCTGGAGGCAGCATTGGGGACTTGAATCTGATTCACACACAGGTCACAGTAATGGAGTGACAAGAGTCCTTTTGTCCTGATCAAAAACAGACGCGCTGCTGCGTTCTGAACCATTTGTAGGGGTTTCACCACACAAGCTGGAAGACCTGCTGGGAGGGCAGAGAGATAACCAAGGCCTGTACCAGAAGCTGGGTGGCGTATTGAGTGAGGTAGGGCCTGATTTTCCTTATGTTGTATAGAGCAAAGCGGCATGACCGAGAGACAGTAGCAACATGGTCTGAAAAGGACAGCTGGTCATCAATCAGGACACCCAAGTTTCTCACCACCCTGGTTGGAGTGATGGTTGAGGAGTCAATTTGTAGTTTGATGTTATGGTGGATAGATTGCTTGGCTGGAATGACCAAGAGTTCAGTCTTAGAGAGGTTTAGTTGAAGGTGGCGAGACTTCATCCATGCAGATATGTCTGATAGACAGTCCGTGATCCACGCCGAGACAGTGGGATCGCCTGGCGGGAAGGATAGGTAGAGTTCCGTGTCGTCTGCGTAGCAGTGGTAAGCGAATGATCGGCCCCAGTGAGGTGGTGTAGATTAAAAAGAGAAGGGGCCCAAGCCTGAGCCTTGGGGCCCCCTGTGGAGAGGCAGTGGGAGGAGGATAATTGTCTTTGCCACAAAACATTGTAGGAACGCCCAGAGAGGTAGGATTCGAACCACAGGAGTGCTTTACTCGAGATGCCCATTGCTGAGAGAGCGGATAGCAGGATCCTGTGGCTGACTGTGTCAAAGGCAGCTGATAGGTCAAGCAGGATCAGAACCGAGGACTGGGCTGCAGCTTTAGCTGACCTTAGGGCTTCTGTTACAGACAGAAGAGCCGTTTCAGTAGAGTGGGCACTCTTAAAACCAGACTGATATGGATCTAGGAGGTCATTCCCTGAGAGGAATTCTGAGACCTGTTTGAATACTGCCCGTTCAATAGTTTTGGATAAAAAGGTAGAAGAGACACTGGTCAATAGTTCTCAACTTGAGTTGGGTCAAGTGAGGGCTTTTTGAGCAAGGGTGTAACCCGAGCCCTTTTGAAAGTGGTCGGGAAGGTTCCTGAAGCCAGAGAAGTATTTATCACGAGTGATTGTCGGTACCACGGTAGGACATATGGCTTGGAGGAGATTCGTAGGAATCGGGTCCAGTGGGCATGTAGATGGACGGCTACGGGTCAAGAGTTCTGATACTTTGTTCTCCGTGAGAGGAGTAAACGAGGAGAGTGAACAACCACTGACCTGGGAGGGCAGAGGAAACGATGTAGCAGGACTGCTACATGTTAGGTTTTCCTGTGCCGAGTTCACAGAGTGGGAGCTGACCGGAGTGAGAACAGAATGGTTGATTGTGAGAGATTTAGAGAATTGGCTGGATGTAGCCGCCACCTTGCCTGTGAAGGAGGCAGCAAAGGTATCAGCGGACAGGTTTGTGGGTGGTGGAGGAGGATTTAGAAGAGATTTAAGTGGAAAATAATTTCCTTGAGTCAGTGGCACCGCTAATTCTGTTATTATAGAACGCAGATTTGTCAGCACTGATGCTGGTTGAGAAGGAGGATAGCAGCAGGTGGTAGCCGCCCGTTATAATGTGTGTGTGTGTTACAGTGTGTGTGTTCTACCTTCTCCACAGCGAAGGTCCGGATCACGTACTCTGACAGCAGCTGAGTCTCGATCAGCGTCACCTTCATGTCACCGTAGATCTCCGTGTCGTCAGGCCAGTACTTACAGCACTTCACCTGGACGCGCGCACACACACACACACACACACACACACACACACACACACACAGGAATCTTGTTTATTCATTAACATTGGATGCAGGCAGAAATAAATGACTCGTTAATTAAACAGAAACATAAACAGAACAAAAAAAGCTGATATTAAAATCTAATTAGAGAACCCCCCCCCCCCCATTAACAGCTAATTACTGCTGAGCTAATCGCACTGTCGCCACGGCAACCAACAAAGTGAACGTGTGTGTGTGTGACAGAGAAAGACAGAGGGAGATAATCAGCCTGATCTATCCCAGAATCCCCCTCTGCGGCTCTCCTGTAGAGGGGGAACAGATCCCTGGTGCCTTCTGGGTAATGAGAGCTGGGACAGGGAGCCCGCCTGCAGGTGTGTGTGTGTGTGTGTGTGTGTGTGTCTCAGGTTAAATCCTTCAATTTCAGAAGGAAAGTGTGTGTTGTCTTCGTGTCATGTGAGGTTTCAACTCGGCTTTAGTGCTCAGCTGCTGGAGCTCCAGATGCTCCAGTTTACTGTCCTCCCATCTGGCTGTAGTGCTCATCAAGAAAGACATTTACATTCAAAGAGTTCATCCACTGGGGACCAGGAATGGGATCTATATTTTAACACTTCATCCACTGGGGAACAGGAATGGGATCTATATTTTAACACTTCATCCACTGGGGAACAGGAATGGGATAAATATTTTAACCCTTCATCCACTGGGGAATAGGAATGGGCTAAATATTTTAACCCTTCATCCACTGGGGAACAGGAATGGTATCCATATTTTAAGAGTTCATCCTCTGGGGACCAGGAATAGCATCTATATTTTAACACTTCATCCCCTGGGGAACAGGAATGGTATCCATATTTTAAGAGTTCATCCTCTGGGGACCATGAATGGGATCTATATTTTAACACGTCATCCACTGGGGACCAAGAATGGCATCTATATTTTAACACTTCATCCACTGGAGACCAGGAATAGCATCTATATTTTAAGACTTCATCCACTGGGGAACAGGAATGGTATCCATATTTTAAGAGTTCATCCACTGGGGACCAAGAATGGCATCTATATTTTAACACTTCATCCACTGGGGACTAAGAATGGCATCCATATTTTAAGACTTCATCCTCTGGGGACCAGGAATGGGATCTATAGTTTAAGAGTTCATCCACTGGGGACCAAGAATGGCATCTATATTTTAACACTTCATCCACTGGAGACCAGGAATGGCATCTATATTTTAACACTTCATCCACTGGAGACCAGGAATGGCATCTATATTTTAACACTTCATCCACTGGAGACCAGGAATGGCATCTATATTTTAACACTTCATCCACTGGGGACCAGGAATGGTTCCCATATTTTAAGAGTTCATCCACTGGGGACTAGGAATGGCATTTATATTTTAACACTTCATCCACTGGGGACCAAGAATGGCATCTATATTTTAAGGTGAGACACCAGCCAAATAGGCTTTTTTTTTACTTTACTCATATCACACTGAACCTTCACAAGCTGAATGGAAACATAAATAAAACATTCTGTTTTTTCATATTTAATATGCAAATTAGGTATATTTTCATTAAATATGCACATTGATACATACATACATTGATATTTATGCAGATTAGTGACACAGGCTGTCGTAGAGTTGAGGTTAAATATGAAAATAAAGCGGCCTTTTCATTTGCAATTTATACGTCTCGTAAGCGGCAACCTCCGGCTCTCACGACTGAAGCACCTTAAACCTGCGTTCTTTTTAGCAGCCAGCAGGGGGCGACTCCACCGGCCGCAGAAAGAAGTGTGATTGCATCGAAGTCTGTGAGAAAATGTTTCTACTTGTCAGCTGATTTATTCCCTCAGTAAACACTTTCTTGATGAGTTTATGGTCTCAGTCGCTAGTTTCAAGTCTTCTTCAACACAGCATGATGTTTATTTAGTAAATTATGGTCCCATTTAGAGGAACAGAGACCAGGAAGCAGGGGAGGCTTTAGGGCGGGGCTACAAGCTGATCGACAAGTCGCTACCAATGGCGACCTGTCAATCGGGATAGAGGCGACTCGTATCCGCTGCTCTGTGTACATTTAACCAGCGCAGCTGAAAAAGCTTATCTTAGTCGGCTGCTCATTTTTCAGTAAGTACGTCTTGTTTTAAGCGTGCTAGCCAAAATTAGCATCCCAGCTAATATTACAGTTAATGTGAATTACAGATGCACCTTGCTAACCAAGCTAGCTAGCTCCACCCTCTCTTCCAAATATGGTCACGTCTGGTGCCTGGTTGCAAAACAACAAGATGACGACGGCAAAAATGCCAAACTGGAGGTTTCAAATTGGCAGTCCGCAAACCAATGGGTGACGCCACTTCCTCACAGTCTATGTATACGCTCCGCTTTAGTTGCAGTTAAATACGTATTTGTATTTGTGTTATTTGCTCTCGGTGACACAAACCTTACACATCTGTGACCTTCTCTACTTGTGGTTACATTTGTAAACACAACCCTGTGACATGCGCTCTTCTTTGTTTGTGGTTACGTTTGTATTTGAGTTTGTGAACTACGCTCTCATTGCTTCCAGAGGTAAAATGCACTTCTTACACAATAAACTGAGGCAGTGAACTTTTCAACAATAGAAAATAAACAAAGGGTAAGTAGAGACGTGACAGATGCACTCTGGGAAATGGAGTCCCAAACTTCATCAACAAGGAAAAACAACCAGATGGCCACAACAATCAGTCTGTGTGTGTGTGTGCACACGCGTAGACTCACCCGCCCCACCTCCACCAGGTTGGTTACCATGACGATTGCGGCAGTGTTCTCCTGCCAAATCATCCGCCAGAAATCGTAAACAGTCTCCTGCATGGGACCTGAAAATCACACACACACACACACACACACACACAGTAAACTTCATATTAGACAGCAGATCAGCAGGCGACACCAGAGCTGTACATGAATTATAATGACTCTTTTAATTAATTCAAATTAAGCACACGTACACACACACACACAAAAAAACACACACACAAAAAATATTTTTAATCACTGTTGACAGTCTGTGTTTTGACGAGCTAATTAGTTCATGCTAATCCATTCCTGTCCTCAAGTGTTTTACAGCAAGAAGCTGCTGCCTGCCTGCACGCACACACACACACTCCATATTCATGCTGATAGATGTGGTTGCAAAAACACAACAGTTTATTCAGAAAAGTACATTTCTACCCGGAGAGCTGAGTGTGTGTGTTTGTGTGGTATCAGAGTGTCTGCACATATCTGAAAGTTACATTTAAAACTTCACTTATGAAAAAGTAAAACAGTATTAATTCTTCAGATCTCGGCTTTCCATTGTGGATAGTACCTGGTACTTTATTTGGTATCACTACAGACGAGTTGAGCCGATACAAAAAGGTGGCGTGAAAACATGCAGACCACTGATGTCAGAGGGAATAGTCACTTGAGATCATCTAAACCAACCGCAATTGTTTTATTCACTCAAACAAGATTTTAAAAAAAGGTAGGCAACAAAAAAGTATAATATAAATATCTGCAGTGGCGCGTGTACTATCTGCAGTGGAGGTTGTATTATCTGCAGTGGAGCGTGTACTATCTGCCGTGGAGGGTGTACTATCTGCAGTGGAGGTTGTATTATCTGCAGTGGAGCGTGTACTATCTGCCGTGGAGGGTGTACTATCTGCAGTGGAGGTTGTACTTTCTGCAGTGGAGGGTGTACTACCTGCAGTGGAGCGTGTACTACCTGCAGTGGAGCGTGTACTATCTGTAGTGGAGCATGTACTATCTGTAGTGGAGCGTGTACTATCTGTAGTGGGGTGTGTAGTATCTGCAGTGGGGTGTGTAGTATCTGCAGTGGAGCGTGTAGTATCCGTAGTGGAGGGCGTACTATCTGCAGTGGAGGGTGTCGTATCTGCAGCAGAGCGTGTACTATCTGCAGTGGATTGTGTACTGTCTGTAGTGGAGTGTGTACTATCTGCAGTGGAGGTTTCACAATTTGCAGTGGAGGGTGTACTATCTGCAGTGGAGGTTGTACTGTCTGCAGTGGAGCATGTACTGTCTGTAGTGGGGTGTGTAGTATCTGCAGTGGGGTGTGTAGTATCTGTAGTGGAGCGTGTAGTATCTGTAGTGGAGGGTGTACTATCTGCAGCGGAGGGCGTCGTATCTGCAGCAGAGCGTGTACTATCTGCAGTGGATTGTGTACTGTCTGTAGTGGAGGGTGTACTATCTGCAGTTGAGGGTTCACAATCTGCAGTGGAGGGTGTACTATCTGCAGTGGAGGGTGTACTATCTGCAGTGGAGGTTGTACTATCTGCAGTGGAGCATGTACTGTCTGAGGTGGAAGGTGGACTATCTGCAGTGGAAGGTATTCTATCTGCAGTGGAGGTTGTACCATCTGCAGTGGAGCATGTACTATCTGCAGTGGAGCATGTACTATCTGCAGTGGAGCATGTACTGTCTGCAGTGGAGGGTGTACTATCTGCAGTGGAGGGTGTACTATCTGCAGTGGAGGTTGTACTGTCTGAAGTGGAGCATGTACTGTCTGTAGTGGGGTGTGTAGTATCTGCAGTGGGGTGTGTAGTATCTGCAGTGGAGCGTGTAGTATCTGTAGTGGAGGGCATACTATCTGCAGCGGAGGGCGTCGTATCTGCAGCAGAGCGTGTACTATCTGCAGTGGATTGTGTACTGTCTGTAGTGGAGTGTGTACTATCTGCAGTGGAGGGTTCACAATCTGCAGTGGAGGGTGTACTATCTGCAGTGGAGGTTGTACTATCTGCAGTGGAGGTTGTACTATCTGCAGTGGAGGTTGTACTATCTGCAGTGGAGCATGTACTGTCTGCAGTGGAAGGTGGACTATCTGCAGTGGAGGGTGTACTATCTGCAGTGGAGGTTGTACTGTCTGCAGTGGAGCATGTACTGTCTGCAGTGGAGGGTGTACTATCTGCAGTGGAGGGTGTACTATCTGCAGTGGAGGTTGTACTGTCTGAAGTGGAGCGTGTACTGTCTGCAGTGGAGGTTGTACTGTCTGCAGTGGAGGGTGTACTATCTGCAGTGGAGGTTGTACTGTCTGCAGTGGAGCATGTACTATCTGCAGTGGAGCATGTACTGTCTGTAGTGGGGTGTGTAGTATCTGCAGTGGGGTGTGTAGTATCTGCAGTGGAGCGTGTACTGTCTGTAGTGGAGGGCGTACTATCTGCAGCGGAGGGCGTCGTATCTGCAGCGGAGGGCGTCGTATCTGCAGCAGAGCGTGTACTATCTGCAGTGGATTGTGTACTGTCTGTAGTGGAGTGTGTACTATCTGCAGTGGAGGGTTCACAATCTGCAGTGGAGGGTGTACTATCTGCAGTGGAGGTTGTACTATCTGCAGTGGAGGGTGTACTATCTGCAGTGGAGGGTGTACTGTCTGCAGTGGAAGGTGGACTATCTGCAGTGGAGGGTGGACTATCTGCAGTGGAGGTTGTACTGTCTGAAGTGGAGGTTGTACTGTCTGCAGTGGAGGGTGTACTATCTGCAGTGGAGGTTGTACTATCTGCAGTGGAGGGTGTACTGTCTGCAGTGGAAGGTGGACTATCTGCAGTTGAGGGTGTACTATCTGCAGTGGAGGTTGTACTGTCTGAAGTGGAGGGTGTACTATCTGCAGTGGAGGTTGTACTGTCTGAAGTGGAGCATGTACTGTCTGCAGTGGAGGTTGTACTGTCTGCAGTGGAGGGTGTACTATCTGCAGTGGAGGTTGTACTATCTGCAGTGGAGGGTGTACTGTCTGCAGTGGAAGGTGGACTATCTGCAGTTGAGGGTGTACTATCTGCAGTGGAGGTTGTACTGTCTGAAGTGGAGGGTGTACTATCTGCAGTGGAGGTTGTACTGTCTGAAGTGAAGCATGTACTGTCTGCAGTGGAGGTTGTACTGTCTGCAGTGGAGGGCGTCGTATCTGCAGCGGAGGGCGTCGTATCTGCAGCATAGCGTGTACTATCTGCAGTGGATTGTGTACTGTCTGTAGTGGAGTGTGTACTATCTGCAGTGGGGGGTTCACAATCTGCAGTGGAGGGTGTACTATCTGCAGTGGAGGTTGTACTATCTGCAGTGGAGGTTGTACTATCTGCAGTGGAGGGTGTACTGTCTGCAGTGGAAGGTGGACTATCTGCAGTGGAGGGTGTACTATCTGCAGTGGAGGTTGTACTGTCTGCAGTGGAGGTTGTACTGTCTGCAGTGGAGGTTGTACTGTCTGCAGTGGAGGGTGTACTATCTGCAGTGGAGGTTGTACTGTCTGCAGTGGAGGGTGTACTGTCTGCAGTGGAAGGTGGACTATCTGCAGTGGAGGGTGTACTATCTGCAGTGGAGGTTGTACTGTCTGAAGTGGAGGGTGTACTATCTGCAGTGGAGGTTGTACTGTCTGAAGTGGAGGGTGTACTATCTGCAGTGGAGGTTGTACTGTCTGAAGTGGAGCGTGTACTGTCTGCAGTGGAGGTTGTACTGTCTGCAGTGGAGGGTGTACTATCTGCAGTGGAGGTTGTACTGTCTGCAGTGGAGCATGTACTGTCTGCAGTGGAGGTGTACTATCTGCAGTGGAGGGTGTCGTATCTGCAGTGGAGGGTGTATTATCTGCAGTGGAGGTTGTACTGTCTGCAGTGGAGGTTGTACTGTCTGCAGTGGAGGGTGTACTATCTGCAGTGGAGCATGTACTGTCTGCAGTGGAGCACGTACTGTCTGCAGTGGAGGGTGTATTATCTGCAGTGGAGGTTGTACTATCTGCAGTAGAGGTTGTACTGTCTGTAGTGGAGGTTGTACTGTCTGCAGTGGAGGGTGTACTATCTGCAGTGGAGGTTGTACTGTCTGCAGTGGAGCATGTACTGTCTGCAGTGGAGGGTGTACTATCTGCAGTGGAGGTTGTACTGTCTGCAGTGGAGGGTGTACTATCTGCAGTGGAGGTTGTACTGTCTGCAGTGGAGGGTGTACTGTCTGCAGTGGAGGGTGTACTATCTGCAGTGGAGGGTGTACTGTCTGCAGTGGAGCATGTACTGTCTGCAGTGGAGGGTGTACTATCTGCAGTGGAGGTTGTACTATCTGCAGTGGAGGGTGTACTGTCTGCAGTGGAGGTTGTACTGTCTGCAGTGGAGGGTGTACTGTCTGCAGTGGAGGGTGTACTATCTGCAGTGGAGGTTGTACTATCTGCAGTGGAGGGTGTACTATCTGCAGTGGAGGTTGTACTGTCTGCAGTGGAGGGTGTACTGTCTGCAGTGGAGGGTGTACTATCTGCAGTGGAGGGTGTACTGTCTGCAGTGGAGCGTGTACTGTCTGCAGTGGAGGGTGTACTATCTGCAGTGGAGGTTGTACTATCTGCAGTGGAGGGTGTACTGTCTGCAGTGGAGCATGTACTGTCTGCAGTGGAGGGTGTACTATCTGCAGTGGAGGTTGTACTATCTGCAGTGGAGGGTGTATTATCTGCAGTGGAGGTTGTACTGTCTGTAGTGGAGGTTGTACTGTCTGCAGTGGAGCGTGTACTGTCTGCAGTGGAGGGTGTACTATCTGCAGTGGAGGGTGTACTATCTGCAGTGGAGGTTGTACTGTCTGCAGTGGAGGGTGTACTATCTGCAGTGGAGGTTGTACTATCTGCAGTGGAGGTTGTACTATCTGCAGTGGAGGTTGTACTGTCTGCAGTGGAGGGTGTACTGTCTGCAGTGGAGGGTGTACTATCTGCAGTGGAGGGTGTATTATCTGCAGTGGAGGGTGTATTATCTGCAGTGGAGGTTGTACTATCTGCAGTGGAGGGTGTACTATCTGCAGTGGAGGTTGTACTGTCTGCAGTGGAGGGTGTACTATCTGCAGTGGAGGTTGTACTGTCTGCAGTGGAGCATGTACTGTCTGTAGTGGAGGGTGTTTGAGTTCTTACCTTGGGTAGCAATGTAGTGATTGGGTCTGTGGTAGCCCTGAGAGAGGAGAGGACAAGCCGAAGAGGAAGGAAAAGAAACAATAGGTCATGTTAAAGCTAAAGATGTGAGGAGAAATGTTCTTCAAAGATCTAAAACAACTAGACGTTTCAGTCTGAATCCTGTGTTCACACCATGAGTCTGTGGCAGGGCTCTACAGTGCGACCATTTTGCTCCCATATGCCCCTAAATCAATATGTGCGAAAAATTATTTATTAAGTAACTACCGTAAATACAACCAACAATATCGCCCCCACCCTGCCCGCTGCGCCGCGCCGCGCTGCTAGTGGTGGGCAGGGTGTCGATATCGATAATTATCACGATAAGTTTCAAATCTTTATTTCTTTTGAGATTAAAGGCAGATTTCTGCTACTGAGGGACCTTAACCTGATGGTTAATTGTGGTTTAAACTGGTCTTTATGGTCAACACTTGATGCCAAACAGTGGATCACTTCACAAATCAGAGGCAGAACATTCAAAACAATTATGATAAAATCTTTTTCAACACATATGCATGAGTAAACATGACTTTTTATCTAATGTTTTAATATTACACTAATACACTCATTAAAACTAGTTTCTCCTCCATGTTGTAGAAAGAGCCTGTGAAAAAAAGCTTTAACAAAATATGAAGGCCGATGCCGGGGGCCCAGATCCAAGGGCCTCCAATGGTTTCACAGCATAGTTGAACACAAGGAGAAGGAGCACACACGTGGTATAAACATGTGTATGATAAATAGTTTGCTATGGAGCCATGTGTGGGAGGGTCTGGCTCTGTGAGGTCCTTGTTTCTCCGGCCCTGAACCTGAACCTTCACAACCAAAGCCCACTTTATACTTCCCCTCACAAGGGTAGGAACACACGCGCTCGCTCTCAGCAGAGACATCTCCTCTGTCTGTGTTTACAGAGTAAACAGCAACCAACACCGCCTGGTGACCACCGTCGCCATGGAAACACAATCCACCAGGACGTTTCAGGTCGACCTTTAGAGGAACAAAAGAAGTAAACTGTGTGTTACTCACGTCCACATAGTTGGCGTTGATGTAGTCAGAGCCGCTCTCTCCGTCCTGAGGCTGCAGACGCACACGGGAGTGGTCGTCTGACACACACACGCGCACACACACACACACACACACACGCGCGCACACACACACGCACGCGCGCACACACACACACACACACACACACACACACACACACACACACACGCACGCACACACGCACACACACACAGTGTTAATTGGCCGGCTTGTTGTCGTGGTGAAGCTGAATATAATCACCTCTAATTAGCTTCTGCTGAACAAATGATCTAATAATAAATTAATAACCACTTCATTACATTCATTCTACTAAATGATATAAATAAATCTGAATCTGTGTGTGTGTTAGAACTGTTGTGTTTTGTACGCATACATTATTCATTTTCACAATTTCTTCTTCTGGAAAACAAAATAATTTATATCCTAATAGAACAAGAAATAAATGCAAGAAATAAAATACAAATGAAGCCTCTTTAAAGTTCTGTGTCTGACGCTGATCGTGAAACTCTTCAACCTGCAAACGTGAATTTCAAGCGTCAACATTTGATGCATTCATCAACAAAACGCACGATGATCATGGAAAATCAGAAACGAGATGAAACTGATCCACAGTATAAACTGAAACAAAATGGCGGCGCCTTGACCTGACTCTGACGATTAATCAACTATTAATTTACTTAATAGATGAATTGTTTCAGCTCTAATCTGAATTATGCAATTACAGGGCTGATGCTGTGTTTCTTTCTGCGAGTAACCCATGTAGCCGTTCGCAGACATCAGGACATTATGAAGTGCTTATTAATGTTCAGTTTGAATTCAGTACGTGTTTATACAAAGATATAAAAAGATTCAAAGTTGGGTCTGAAAGTCTGGTTTCTGGCCCACCGTCCACCTCCTTACTCACACCTTTCTGTTAAATATCCTACACCTTTAGCGTACTAATATGACGCTTCCCCAGTTCGTTAAAAACTGGCGCCAAGAGATTGTGACCATGTGTCCAGTTGTGATGACTTGGGAGTAAGAATTTGTGTATGCCACACCTTCCATTCCAGCCAATCAGAATCCAGAATTCTCATTAGCATAAAACAAAAATTAAACAATAAATAAAATATTCAGTAGTTTTTAATAATAGTTCAGTTTATACTGTTATTTCTTAGTCGTTCCATCACGGAGGGTACAGCGTACTTCTAGTTTAACTTAATTAATCCTTCATGAAGGGTTCCATAAAAATAAAGTTATTATCATTAATCAATCGTTATCTCATTAATACTCGTGTGTTTGGAGTGAAAAACAGCGAGAGGTTTAAACCTCAGTCGACCGTCAGTCTACAGAACTTTAACACGTTTAGCCCTGAGGAGTAAAAGTGCGCCGTCGTCTGAAGCTGTCAGAGTTTCAGTTCAAAGTCAAATCTACAAAACTTAAAGAAGTTAAATCAACAGACGAGTTATTTCACGAGTGCCTCCCACCAGGTCTGAGGCCTGCAGCTCATTGGCTGCCACCGCTGTTACACACACACACCGGTCACAGAGACTGGTGTGTGTGTGTGTGTGTGTGAGTGTTACTGGCTGGTGTGAACATGAAGTGAGTCCCTGCAGGCCACCGTAGCTCCCAGCATCCTCCATCACACCTCATTAGCATAATTACACCACCACAGGACAGACTCTGCGTGTGTGGATGTTCGCCAGCAGCTGAAACTGAGCAGCTGTCAACGCTAACTTTCTGGGACGTTAGCACATTAGCTTCAGCAGCTACATGATGTGTCCGTGAGACCCGGAGCTGTGTGATGATAGGAGCTGACCCCAGATCTGCCCGACGGTAACGAACCGCAGCACAAACAGCCGTGTGTTTCCTGTCTGACGCGTTCAGACACTCTGATGCGGCTGGTTTGAAGGCAGCTTCAGACTTTCTGCTCTTTGACACTGAGCTCGAATCTGGATGTTTTAGTTATTCAAAGTTGTCATAGCAACACGTCCCACAGCACAAACCCTCTAACGATGGTTTTAAAAAGTGTTTCAATAAACGCTCTCAAATTTCTACAGGTTTCCCACAGCAGAGCTTCTAACGGCGTCTGTCTGTGGAGCGGAATGTGATGCCCAGCACGTTTAACTGTCTGTAAGTGAGTAAGTAATAGTGTAAGTGTTGGAACGACACAATGAAATGTTTCATCATTCATGTTCCTGGGTGGACGTCAGGTGTATCTGCTGTTGCTCTGAAGCTCACAGACCTACTACTCTGCATTTCCAGCCCTTTATTGTAGTTCTGCGACTCCTGTATGGCAGTTTTGCATGATTCAAAGTTCAAAAATATAATTTACAGGCATCACATCTGATGAACCAGTGGTTAGGTTGTTGGTTAATTTATGGCTACAAATGCATCACTACAGACGTGTCACCCGTCTACATGTGACGGTTACATCTATGGTTAAATGTGACAGGCCGGGGGCGCACCAGACCTCTGTTTATATCCTCACATTCCCTGACTGCCACCTCTATTGTCACATCCAGTGAGACGGGTCAAGTCCCAGATCAAGACCAACAAGTCCCATGTCAAGACATGTTCTGAGCAAGGACCAAACAGTGACGAGTCAAGTTCTAATCAAGTATTATGTCCAGACCAACAAGTCCCAAGACATGTTCTAAGTCAAGACCAACAAATACCAAGTCAAGTTCCAAGTCAAGTTCCAAGTCAAGTTCTAATCAAGTCCTAAGTCCAGACCAACAAATCCCGATTCAAGTTCTAATCAAGTCCCAAGACATGTTCTAAGTCAGGCCAAACAAGTGATGATTAAAACCAACAAACCCCAAGTCAAGTTTTAAGTAAGGACCAAGAACTGACAAATCAAGATAAAGTACAAGTCAAGTTCTAATCAAGTCCCAAGTCAAGACCAACAAGTCCCAAGACATGTTCTAAGTCAGGTTCTAATCAAATCCCAATTCAAGATCCAAGTTCTGAGTCAAGTCCGAAGCCATGACCAACAAGTCCTACTTAACCAACAAACCCAACAAATCACAAGTAAAGTCCCAATTCAGTTCAAATGTTAGAGTTCATGTTCTGCACTTGTTAAGACCTAATAGTCCTAATTATACACAGTAGGAGTTTCAGTCACAAGGTGTTCTGAACAGAACAACTGCACTCCCCATAACAAACAATTTGGGGAGAATGCACGTGCCATTACACCCTAGATGTTACCATCACTATTTTCCACTGTAATCTGTAGAAAAACCAGTATACAGGGACACCTGTAGTGGCTTGGGCAGTTGTTAATGGTTCAATCATGGACATCATGAAAACTCATCTGAGGCACACAAATCATCAAGTGTTCTCCCAGTCTCACATATTAGTGTTATCTATTGTATATTAGTACTGTATGTTATCTGTATCTACAGTATCTGACTGAGCTACATGTCTGCTCTCTACCAGAACAAGGCTTCCACAGTGTCGTTGAGCTGAACCTCTGAAACACAGTCAAACAGGTTTAAATCAGTCTCTAAAACACACCTTACATCCACATTATGAATAATGTGTGGGTACATACAGGCGATGATGTTTCCGTAGCGATTCTTCATGCGGTTCTCATCCTTTTTGGCCGAATCCCACGGAGCTGACTGTCCCTCGAAAAAACTCTGAAAGGACAAAAAAAAAAACAGAGGGTTTGTTTGAAAGGAGAACAGATCCAGAATGATGAAACTCAGTGAATGACTTCATGAATAATGCAGCGGATGTGTTTGATTTCCTGTTCTCTCCCTGAACACACACACAGGCGTTAGTTTTGTGGTCAGAGCAGATGATTAAGTCCAATTATGAGAAGGAGGCTCAGAGAGAAGCCGGAGGCGTCTAAACACACACTGATGGTTGTTTTCTTACTGAGTCCAAACAGAGTAAAAGTACTCTGACTGTTCTGTGCTGAAACAACACTTTCCTCTGCGTTTATCTGTGTGCAGTTCAAAGGTTTAGTTTTGCTGGACTATCTGGCCCCATGATGGAATAGAAAACACCAGCTGAGTCGTTTTGGTATCTTTGTAGTCAATAGTTTTGTGTCTCTGTGGTAATATTTTGCATCTCTTTGTTGTTTTGTTTCTCTTTGTGGTAATATTTTGTATCTCTTTGTTGTTTTGTGTCTCTGTGGTAATATTTTGTATCTCTTTGTTGTTTTGTGTCTCTGTGGTAATATTTTGTGTCTCTTTGTTGGTTTCTGTCTCTGTGGTAATATTTTGTGTCTCTTTGTTGGTTTGTGCCTCTGTGGTAATATTTTGCATCTCTTTGTTGTTTTGTTTCTCTCTGTGGTATATATTGCGTCTCTTCATTGTTGTGTGTCTGTGGTAATATATTGCGTCTCTTTGTAGAAATATATTGCGTCTCTTTGTTGTTTTGTGTCTCTGTGGTAATATTTTGTGTCTGTTTGTTGTTTTGTGTCTCTGTGGTAATATTTTGTGTCTCTTTGTTGTTTTGTTTCTCTTTGTTGTTTTGTTTCTCTTTGTGGTAATATTTTGCATCTCTTTGTTGTTTTGTTTCTCTTTGTGGTAATATTTTGCATCTCTTTGTTGTTTTGTGTCTGTGGTAATATTTTGCGTCTCTTTGTTGTTTTGTTTCTCTTTGTGGTAATATTTTGCGTCTCTTTGTTGTTTTGTTTCTCTTTGTGGTAATATTTTGCGTCTCTTTGTTGTTTTGTGTCTGTGGTAATATTTTGTGTCTCTTTGTTTTGTTTCTCTTTGTTGTTTTGTTTCTCTTTGTGGTAATATTTTGCATCTCTTTGTTGTTTTGTTTCTCTTTGGTAATATTTGCATCTCTTTGTTGTTTGTGTCTCTGTAGTAATATTTTGTGTCTATTTGTTGATTTGTGCCTCTGTGGTAATATTTTGCGTCTCTTTGTTGTTTTGTGTCTCTGTGGTAATATATTGCGTCTCTTTGTTGTTTTGTGTCTCTTTGTGGTAATTTGCGTCTCTTCGTTGTTTGTGTGTCTGTGGTAATATTTTGTGTCTCTTTGTTGGTTTGTGTCTCTGTGGTAATATTTTGTGTCTCTTTGTTTTGTTTCTCTTTGTTGTTTTGTTTCTCTTTGTGGTAATATTTGTATCTCTTTGTTGCTTTGTGTCTCTGTGGTAATATTTGTGTCTCTTTGTTGGTTTGTGCCTCTGTGGTAATATTTTGCATCTCTTTGTTGTTTTGTGTCTCTGTGGTAATATTTTGTGTCTCTTTGTTTTGTTTCTCTTTGTTGTTTTGTTTCTCTTTGTGGTAATATTTTGCATCTCTTTGTTGTTTTGTGTCTCTGTGGTAATATTTTGCGTCTCTTTGTTGTTTGTGTCTGTGGTAATATTTTGTGTCTCTTTGTTGTTTTGTGTCTCTCTGTGGTAATATTTTGTGTCTCTTTGTTTTGTTTCTCTTTGTTGTTTTGTGTCTGTGGTAATATTTTGTGTCTCTTTGTGGGTTTGTGTCTCTGGTAATATTTTGTGTCTCTTTGTTTTGTTTCTCTTTGTTGTTTTGTGTCTGTGGTAATATTTGCGTCTCTTCGTTATTTTCTGTCTCTTTGTGGTAATATTTTGCGTCTCTTTGTTGTTTTGTGTCTCTGTGGTAATAATTTCTCTCTTTGTTGTTTTGTGTCTCTTTGAAGTTGTTTTGTGTGCTTATGATCCTTCTAGTGTCTCTTTGTAGTTGTTTAATTTTTTTCACTTCATGGTTATCGTCAACTCTTTCTTGTTTTGCAACTCTCTGAAGTCATTTTGCGTCTCTTTTAAGTAGTTTTTTGTCTCTTAGTGGTCGTTGTTTTGTCTCTTTTTGTGGTTGTTTAAATTGACAGTCAACATTTCCTTGTTCATTAAAAATGTTTCCTTATATTGATAACAGCCTTTATCCACATGTATCTGTGTATCATAACTGCTGGGTGCGTTGAGGGAGCTCACACAGACTTTGAGCCGCAGCAGGTTTCCTGGGTCGCTCATTAAAATGCCTGCAGACAGATGTGTGTGACAGCAGTCTAACAGCTCCAGACATCCATCAAACTGACAGGTGAGTGATGCCGCACACACACACAGGTCTGCATGATTGACAGTGAGGAACAAAGGGAGGAAAAAGAAAAGAATCGAAGGAACGAATGAACTAATGACTGCTGGCAGCGACTGTGTTTTCACTTCAGCTTATTTCAGACGCTGAAGCTACCTGTCCCCTTAAACCACCAACAACCTCCTGCTCTCATTGAAAAGGTCAAAGGTCATGTCTTCTATGACCTAAACAGAGGTTTGAAATCACACGGGCTTGTTCAGCTCATTCATTACACGCTGTACGATGAAACAGACGTGTTTAAGGGTGCTTAAATTAACTGAAAGCCTCTTTCAGACCTCGATGTAAGCCACAGAAACTTCAGTTGTCAGTGTGGGAAATATGCTGTGATTGGATGATTTGGTATAAACCCAGACTCTCTATGTTCTCCCAAAATAGGTTCACAGACACAGCAGACAAAAGGTTCTCTAGTAATCAGCTTCAATATGAAAGATGCTGTTTACAGTCTGTCTGCAGGCAGAAACACCACAGACATTTATTAACACAGACCGTTACTGACAGAAACCTGATGATGATGATGATGATGATGATGTCACCTCATTAAAGTATTTCAGCTGGCTAACTAGCCCGCAATTAGCTCTGACACACTTCGTGAATCTGAACGTTCAGTCACAATTTCATAAAAAGCTGATGGGCAAAACGAATCCGAACTAAATCCGAAGTTTCATTAGAGCTTTTTAACCACATCGTACGGCCATCTAAGGGAGCACGGAAACTAGATCAATGTCGGTCATCAGTCCATGCACACAAGGCTGGATTAACAATGGGGAAGAGCACGCCGCTGCCCAGGAGTCTACAGTCAGTGTTACTACGAGGGGTTAAATGAAAACAGGCGCCTCATTAACTAGTTCATACGAAGAGATGAGTTGTATAAATATTTACAGACACCAGGTGGAACCAAAGGTGGAACTGGTTGATTAACGGTAGCATGCTAATACCTGAGCTGCTGAGAGTGAAGAGTAAAAGAGGTCATTTGTACAGTCAACATCTCTGACCTGAAACCGTTGAGACGATCCTGAAGTTTAAATGGTGCAATCTGATTTAGAGAATCAGTAGTTGGAAGCAGGTTGGTCATTACTGAGAACTGAGGAGGACTTTGTGTTCAGACTGAAGGACTCATGAGGATCTGCTGCAGCCAACACATTCTCACTCCCAACTCGACACATATGATCACTTGGTCAAAACCCTTTAGGGCTCAAGTTAGCAACAATGAATATCCAATATGCATCCTGTTAGACTTTCAAAATAAAAGTACCTGTTAATGTTGTGAAACGTTACCATTTGGTTAGCTTTAGGAAAAGATCCTGGTTTGGGTTAAAATGACTACGTTACGTACGTCAGTTAACTTACATAAGTTAAGTAATGTATCTTGCGTAACTCAGGCAACGTACGTAACTTAAACATTCAGTGTTGACTTTTTGTTTCACACAGGACTCTGACACCAGTCTCCTGGTTGATAGTCTGGTTTCTGGTCCGACCCAACAGCCTCCTTACTCTGACTTTTCTTTTAAATATCCTACACCTACCTTTAGCGTACATAAATGACGCTACAGGGTTTCCCCCAGCGTGTTACGATATGATGCCAGCAGGTCTCGACCATGCGTCCATGTGTGACGAGCTGGAGGTGAGAACAGGTTTCTGCAGCTCAGTCCAGATTTAAGGAGTGTGAATTGGTTTTGGTATTTTAATTAATTTGTTTAAGAAGCTGATTCACTTCTTTAGAATATGAACTGAGAAAATTCTTTATTATTGCTCAGCGATAGAAGAAGTATCAGATCTGAAGTTAAATTTGAAAGAAAAATAATTTAATTAAATTTTACTGGAGTAGACTGTGAGAAAGTTTTGATGTTCAGTCATTAATTTGTCAGTTGCTCATTGATAATAACGAATCAATCGTGTGTGTGTTGATTTGTAACTTAATGCGGAGGTGTGTCAGACGCTGGACCTCCTTGTTCCTGCTTCTCTCAAACACCACGGACCCAAAAACAAATGAATCAAACAGCATCCTGTGAAATGTTTCCGATCAAACCAACATGCTGGTCTGGCTGCTAGCGACAGAGGGATGGAAGCTAACGTTCACTGAGGGAGGTGTACAGAAACATGGTGAGCCCCAGTCTTGTGTTAGCATTAATGCTACATTCAAGTCAGTGGTAACCATCGCTGTCTCTGAAAAACCTGTTAAACAGACAAACGTCACGGTGTGTTTGTCTTTCAAAGAAACAGGTGGTTACCGTGGTGTCTCTAACGTAATGCTAATACAAACTGAGGCTAGGTGAATCTAAGCTAACAGGCTACAGTGCTAAAGGGGTGTGTTTGTGTGTTGGGCGTTAGCTAGTGTCTAGTCTCTAATCAGGTTGACAAGAACACAGGATGTTAAGAATCTGAAAGCCAAAAAGGCGTCTTACCTCATTAAGCTGTCCAATCAGATTAATTAGTAAAGGAGAAGCATGGAGGGAGATAACAATCAGCTCACTACTGCAGCACTTTACATCAGTTATCAATAAAAGACAGGAGTCTGGTTTAAAGAAGGATTAAAACCACAAGAAAACATCTTTGGTTTCTAAATTCTAACTTTCTGGTCCAAATTTCTTTTCACATTTTGTTTTGAAAATCCAGACTTTATACTGAAAATCCTCAGAATAACACCAGAGAGTCTTTTCATGTGGCCCAGATCCTCTTCCAGAGATACTAATAAATGCTGTGCACATGATTTATTGAAATGATCAGAGTGAAAAGTCATTAAAAAACTAAAGAAAGAGCCCTCTGAGCTGCTCGCGACTCCACGAAACAACCACACAGCAGATGTTATTTAACATTAATGAAACATTCAGCGTTCATGGAATCTCTTTAAATAGTCAAACATCAGTTACATGTGTAGATAGATTACAGAAAACAAACCAAAGGTAGAACAAAAGAACAGATTTTCAATAGGATCAAAATTCAAACACATTTAATTTCCAGTATCACCAGTAGCACCAGCCCGATCTCTGCTCCGGTCAGACTTTTATTCATCTGATGAGTTCCTCATGTGCGTTAGTTCAACAGGAGGAACGGTGTGTTTGACATAAAGATAATAACTTCTAAGACATTTCTTGAAAAGAACCCAGGGGTCCAGACTGCAACCATTTGTAAGAGTGTGCAAGTTAAAGTTTCATGCGGTCGCGTTTGAGCGAGTGTGAGGTGATCATTAGCGGTGCGACCATTTCACTCGCAAATGCCCCTAAAATGCGAGCACACTGTGCGTAATCCGCCCCGCCTCTAATCATTACAGTGTGACTGGCAGCCGGACGCCTGGGCAGCTGAGGCGGTGACACAGAAGACAACAGGGAGAAGATAAGGAAGGTTTATGTTTGGCTAGCTGGATGTTTAGCTCTATCAGCTGCCTTTTGTTTAAACACAAGGTCACTTTTCAACAACCAACCAATCACAGCCTAGATGGGGTGGGTCATTAAAAATGTTTGACATGCTACAGAAAACTTTTGAATGTTGAACTCGTTATCACTTAGCATTAACGTATTAGAGACTAACCCGACCAGCATGTAGAACATTTCACTAGACAAGGATTTAATGAATAAAAACTGTCTGGATGACAGAGTAATAGTGAACTATATAGTATACTAATATATAAAATATAATCAATATAGTAACTTTTTACTAACAGTATATATTAACATATTTTTATTTAATATTGTAATATTATACTAACACACTAATTTCTCCTAGTTCCTCCTCCAGGTTATGGATCGAGCCGTGTTTTACACATAGGAGGAATTTGCTGTGGTGATAAGGTTCTACACGCAGAAAAACATACAGTCAACATAAATAAATGCAGAAATATATAAATATGGAATGGAAGCTCTATCTTGTATAAACAGTGTAAATCTGCTGTCCCCTCAAAATAACACATCACGCAGCCATTAATGTCTAAACCGCTGGCAACTAAAGTGAGGACACCCCTAAGAGAAAAGGGATCAAAGACTCAATATTCTGTGGGGCCACCATTATTCTCCAGCACTGCCTTAACCCTCATGGGCCTGGAGTTCAATTCAATTCAATTCAATTCAATTTTATTTATATAGCGCCAAATCACAACAACAGTTATCTCACAGCGCTTTTCATAAAAGAGCAGGTCTAGACCGAACTCTGTGATGATATTTACAGAAGCCCAACAGTTCCCACCAAGAGCAGCACTAGGAGACAGAGGCAAGGAAAAACTTCCTTTTAAGAGGCAGAAACCTCGAGCAGAACCATGACTCAGGGTGGGCGGCCATCTGCCTCGACCGGTTGGGGTGAGAGAGAGAGAGAGAGAGAGAGAGACAGTGTAGATCTTATGTAGAGCAACCGTTCTTTGTTTCAGATCCTCAGAGAGTTCTTTGCCATGAGGTGCCATGTTGAACTTCCAGTGAGCAGTATGAGGGAGTGTGAGAGCGATAACACCAAATTAACACACCTGCTCCCTGTTCACACCTGAGACCTGGTAACACTAACGATTCACATGACACCGGGGAGGGAAAACAGCTGATTGGGCCCAATGTGGACATTTTCACTGAGGGGTGTCCTCACTTTAGTATCCAGCGGTTTAGACATTAATGGCTGTGTGATGTGTTATTTTGAGGGGACAGCAGATTTACACACTCACTACTTTACACTGGAGCAAAGGGTCATTTCTTCAGTGTTGTGGGTCAATGTCACTGGGTCAACACAGTTTAAGCTTGAAACATTGAACTTGCAGGGGCCGATGCCCCTCCCACTTGTTATCAGGGTCACTGACTAATACTTGTACCAAAACGAAAAAAAAGGGTGCGACCAACTGAGAAAGCTGCACCAGTGCTCCCAGTGGAAAAGTTAGTCTGGAGCCAAAAGTAAAGTACACATCCACCAGATCCAGATAAAAATATTTCAGACAAACGTAAAGTTTCTTTGATACGAAGATGCAACAAGTCCACTCATTCAAATGCTTTAAGGCGGGGCTAACTTGTCATTGACAGGTCTCTACCATGGCGACCTGTTAATCAGGATAGAGGTGACTCGGATCTGCTGCTCCGTGTAAATTTAACCAGCGCCGCTGCAAAAGCTTATCAGGAGTTGGCTGCTCATTTTTCTGTTTTGTTTTAAGCATGTTTGTCGCTAGCCAAAATGAGCATTCCAGCTAATATCACAGTTAATGTGAATTACAGATGCACCTTGCTAACCAAGCTAGCTAGCTCCACCCTCTCGTCCAAATGTGGTCACGTCTGGCACCAAAAACAAAGATGGCGACGGCCAAAATACCAAACCAGAGGTAATCCATATAATCCAACGTGGGACACCACGGCGGCTACGTCAGCTTCTTTTACACAGTCTGTGATTTGGACCTTTTGGTAGCTGGAGGACGGTCTCATACTGGCAGGTATAGAACAGCAGGCGTGCAACGATACGTGCTGAAGCATGAGGCTTTAAAGATGGACTACCGAGATATGAACCGGTGTTAACTTTGGACCAAACCAGTCCACTGTCCTGGTCAGAGGTCACCGAGATGACGGAGCTTCTCCTGTAACGTCCTCTGCAGAACCTCTTCTTCAAGCCTGGACCCTCATCGAAGGGTTTACCTGCTTCCTTTCTGACTTGGAGAGTTTACAGTCTATGCAGCGCTACCTTATCTGGAAAACACCGATCACCTGATCAATCATTTATCTTGTTTACCCACACACACACACCACATTCATCTGGTATACAAACTGCAACTCCACCTTCTGAAGGTGTTTATTGTGTCTTCAGGGAGCGGCCGGTTGGTCTACATGATCAGATGGTGTGTGATTGATAACCCTGCACGGAGACAAACCGGTTCTCCAAACAAACCAGTTTGGAAACGTCGTCATTGGACAGTCAGACGGACAGAAACACTGAAGAACTCCTCACCACTAACTTTCTGCAAATGGAGGGTGAAAACACTCTGTGTGTGCGTGTGTGTGTGTGTGTGTGTGTACTCAGTATGTATAATGGATTAGCCCTGAGGGCAGCCCGCTAGCAGGCAGCCAGACCTGAACACACACACACACGTACACACATTTATACACACACAGACACACACACATATACACACACAAGCTATTCCCTGTTTTGGCCCATTAGCTGGAGGGAAGATCTATAATGTATGTCTGAGTGTGTGTGTGTGTGTGTGTGTGTGTGTGTGTGTGTTCAGGTAAGTAACATCCATTAGTAAATTTCTCCTGATGAAAACGGGTAAACATGTGGCGTGCACACACAGTGCTGCTGTTATTGAACATTTCTGTTTTCTGTCTTGTTCTTCCCTCCTCTCTCTGTCATCGCTGAAACGATTCATTGATCAATAAATTAATCAACAATATTTGAAATAATCATTAACGTCATTCATCAGTCAGCTTTTCTGTCTCAGTGAAGTGAATCTCAGTGAAGCCTCCTCAGACTTGTTGTTTCGACATTTTATGGATTAAATAATAACCGATATCTTGCGAAACTAGTTAATAGATTAATCAATAATGAAATTTATCCTTGTGTCGGTGGTTAGCTTGTTGCTGAGGTGTATTTTTAAAATGAATCCACCCATTGAAAACAGATAAACTGATCATAAAATGAATCATAGCTAGCGTTTAACGCCCTCGGAAATACATAGCCACCGTGTCCTGGTAAACAAACAGCTAGCAGCCAGGTAGCAACATGAAGCTAGCTGAACAACTGTGTAAATATTATGATGAATGTGTTTTTGTTTTTTCAGTCTGGTTTAGTAGAAGATAGAAGAGAGGTTAAATTAGGAGGGTCGTTTTCAGCCTTTTTGATGTTGGATTTATAATTAAATTGATATATCGTAGACGTCTGTGTTGTTTATAAACTCTGATAATTAATCCAACACCTCTCTGCAGCGGTGTCCATGTTGATTCCACATTCAGACTTAAGAGCACATGAACACACACTGAAGTCAGAAGAATGACTTCACAACTCAGGGAATGGGACCATCCGAGGAGCACCTGAATGCACCGTGAGCCGCTGGTTGCAATTCCCAACCGTCACCACTAGATGTCACTACATTTACATTTACTTTTATTCATTTAGCTGACACTTTTATCCAAAGCGACTTACAGTTGCTATATGTGTCAGAGGTCGCACGCCTCTGGAGCAACGAGGGGTGTCATTGTCAACATAATGGTGGTTGGGTCACAGTGGGGAATTGAACCCGGGTCTATCACACCAAAGGCATTTGTCCTATCCGTTGCACCATCACCACCCCACCACTAACACTTACACACTGAACCTTTAACATAAGTATGAAAACATGAACGCCTTCCCTTAATGAAAGAGGTCTTCATCCTGTGTGTGTCGTTCTGGGTACGCTACCCTCGACTCCAGGAAACTAGTCTATGTGCTGTTTCCAGCCATAAATAACTGAGTGAGTTTGTGTGCATCCTCCTCACCTCGTACTCCTCCTTGAAGCCGTAACCTTCGGCGCATTTCATCTGGGTGATGTGCTGCAGCAGGTCGGCCACTCGGATGGCCGGATGCAGCTGACCCGTCTGATAGGGCAGCGCCTCGCGCTCCGACTCCCTCTGCTTGTAGTGGGACTGGACCAGGCTGCTGGTTTCACTGGTCATAGTGTGACTGTCGTCTGGAGGAGGAACAGAATATGACAAACAGGTCAGACTGAGGCTGTAGCCAGAGGACCGCTGGACAGACAGACAGTCAGAACCGTGTGATGCAGATATGATGTTCATGTTGGATGGCATGGACTCGACGGGAATTCACTTTTGTCTCCTTTCGTTTAGGTACATTTATAGAAAAAAAAAAGTCTTCAGTTATTTGTCCAAGTAAAGGTTAAAATCAAGGGCAGCTGGACTTGGCTGAAGATACTGGAAGACGTTTCGTCGTTTGGACGAGAGACTAAAGTTCTGACAAAGGTTCTGGCGAACTGAAGAAGACTCTTGGATGAGAGACAAAACGTCCTCAAGTATCTTTAACCAAGTCCAGCTGCCCTTTCCTTGGATAACTATGACCTGGATGACAGAGAACCTGCACAGACATCTTCAGACACCTTCTGGGCCGACACTGTACAGACGAAGCCTGGTTTTAGCTCTGTATTGTTGGTCCCAGACTTAATTCAGAATCAGACCAAACTTCCACCAGATTATCTGTCGCCTCGTGTTCGAGACGAATTCCCAGAGCAGTCGCCTCTGATTTCTGGTAGGTTGGACTCTTTGGGCAGTTTGAAAAGTCCTTATCCGAGTTCCCAACATGGCTGCTGTTACCTGTTGTAACCTGTAGAAAGTAGGGCTGTTTTTTTTTAGCTGTATCCGCATGCAGGAGTAAATCTGCTTACTGTATTCGAATCCCTCGTAAAATCGAATTAACTTTCAACATTTAAAAGCAGCGGGAGTTAAAAATAATAAATAAATAACTCAAACTGGGATTTAGGTCTTTTTATCTGGATCTCTTTAGCTTTTAATTGATCATCTTAAAATATTGATCTGATTGATTGATAAACCTTTGGGTTAGGATTAGCAAGCCAGCAGCTCTCATGATCAATGAACCTGATCTTGTTTGCTGGTCTGAAAGCTGATTTAAAACATAAAAACCTTTAAAATATGTCATTTAATGTAAAATCTATAAACAATATTACAACATCTGCACAACAACGTCCCACTTCCTGTGTAGACAGGAAGTAAAGAGACAAAAGGGTGTTACAGCTTCAGATGTGTTGTTACCACAACAACCCTAGTGCATCAGATCACATGACTGGAGAGAGGATGGTGATTGGTGCTGGTTTCTTTTCACACTGCCGCCGCAGCTATCAATCACGGATCAATAATCTGATCCAACAAAAGGACTTCCAATCAAACCAATCTATTATATGAATCAGTTGCTGGTCCAGACCCAGTACAGGTCCTGGACCCATTACTGGTCCAGACCCAGCACAGCATGGTCTCAGTACTGACACTGGTCCCAGTACTGGTCTAGACCCAGTACAGCATGATCTCAGTACTGGTACTGGTCCCAGTACTGGTCCAGATGTGGTCCAGGTTCTCGGAGCTGCAGTGTGGAGAGAGCAGAGTTCAGAGTCCTGGAACAAAACAAACCTCTCTGGTGAACCGTTTACTGACATATGACCCAGGGACATCCAGGACTCTGACGTGAACATTTCAACAAAGACTCGATGGACAAACCTTCCACTACACTTTCTAACTCTGCTCTTATTGGCTAGCCTGGAGGCTGACTGACCAATCTGAAACTCTCTATCCCAAACAGCCCAACCAATCAAGGCGAGGGCGAGGAGATGGGCAATTTGATGGAGGTGGCGGTTTGTGGAGGACGGGTGAGACAACCACAACAATGACAACAGCAACCAATCAGAAAAAAGAGAGATGGGCAGAGCTGAAAACTGATTGGTTCGAGGTGAAATGGTGGGAGGAGTTGGGGAAAGTGATGTCACAATTTCACATGGGGGTTAAAATGAGGCTAATTGATGACAACAGCGGGTGGTGGGTGCGGCTCCATGCGCAGTGGTGACAGACACCCCCCAACATGAGTCCCGCCCCTTATCCCCAAATTTAACCACTTACCATTAATGGGCACTTTACACAGAGAAAGATAGAAGAGAAGAAGAAGAGAGAGGAGACAGGGTATAAGCAACAACTTTAGCTTTAGCCTGCTACTGCTAACACACAGCTAGCATGAATCAAACAGCAACTAGCACTGTCTATGTGAACTTGTCACAACTAGCAGCAACCGCCTAGGCTAACCTAGCTAACCCGGCTAACCTGGCTAACTGGACCCTAAACGTAGGACTCCTCAGCTAACGTCCCAACCCCCGGCCTGAAGACAGATCAGCTAGGAGAGAGGACAAACAGGAACCTAAGCAACAGTTTGCTTCAACGTTCCTTCACTTGGACATTAAACTAGCCTAGCAGCACATGTAGCGCAGCAGTTAGCATCCGATTTTGGTTCACTTTCCACGAGCAAAACACAGATCAGCAGTCTGTTCTTGATTTATTTCAGAGTTTATATATCGTCTAGATCAGTCTCATTATTTTTGTAACCCTGTTTATTAGAAATTAATTTGTTTGTTAGTTTTTTCACCTGTTGTCGATTTAGATAAACACTTTGGTTAGGCTTCAGGAAACATGATCCCTTCAATGTTATTAAAGTCAACCTCTGTCACAGTTTTGGGGTTTTGTTTCCTGTTTTGTTTTGAAGTTACCAGTCCTTGTTCCTGCCTGTGTCTTCCCTGTTGCTTACCTGATCTGTCTCACCTGTATTAATCAGCCTGCCTGCTTGAGTTGGTATATATAGTCCGTGTTTCCTTCCTGGTTTTGTAGGACCGTCTGTCTTTCTCTTTTTGGATTACTGTGTTATTTCTGTTTGAGTCTGAATTGAGTCCTGCCTGTCTCTTACTGTGGATTTGTTTGGTCTTAAGTTTCGGACTTGACTGATGTTTAGTTCCTTGCATCCCAGCTGTGTTGGTTTATTCACCAGTATTTCTGGGTTTGGGTCCAATAATATGTTCAGTGTTCCTAACTTTGATTTAAAAAACATAATTAAGGCGCATTACATTTGCTGTCACAGTTTAATGTTTTTTGTTTAACCATATGATTTAGGGATCTTTAAAAATTGTGACCAAGATATGACACTGTTTCTAAATTCCCTCACATTTGACATCTACTTTGACTTCATGTTATTGATTAATAAAAATTTAAATAATCTTTATTTACAGGCCTGCTTTGGGGGAATATTCATATGAAATCCTATAAAATAAAATACAGACGAATGAACCAGAGACTATGCAGATCTTTGGTTTTAGTTGTCAACACCTTTTCAGCTGTGTCCTGTTCTTCTTCTGTTTGTGATTAAAGGTACGATATTTGGAACAGACACGGGAGGTTAAGCTGGTTTAGCACAGCATTCTTGATTTGTTTGTTTGACTTAGCTTAGCTTCCTGCTCATTTTGTGTTAAATAAAAATAATCTGAAAATCAACAAACGTCTGCAACATCCAAGAATCACAACCAAGACGTCCAGAGTGTAAAAGAAGCTGCTAGCAGGCCCTCTGACTGACTCTGGTTTTAAATGGTTAGTTTGTTTTCCTCCCCCCAGTCCACGTGGGCGTGTTGTGTCCATGCAGAGGTTGGAGGTCACAGACAGACGTGACGTCAACACGACACGCAGGAATGTTGTGGATGTGGGGATGGAGTGAAGCCCACCGTTGTTTAAAAAAATAAAAAATAAAAAATAAATAAATGTTAAAATAATAAAAACACATTTAAAACATACTAAAAATTATATTTATTTTTGAAATAAAAAATAAATTACAAAATTGTTTAAAAAACAAACAAAATGAATAACTAAGATTTTAAATTAAAATTCAATAATAAAATTGGAAAAACAAATTTATCAGAAAGGAAAACTTAAAGCAAAATCTCTTTAAGGGCTAATCAATATAGAATTATTATTAAAATTAAATCAATATATTAATTAAAGATGGAGGATTTGGAGAATAAAAATAAAACTTTAAACAAAATACTTTTAAATATTTTGAACATAAAAAAACAGAAGAACTAAAAGCAGCCGAACAAGAAGCAAGCAGGGATGGATGGAAGCCAAAATATCACTCTCTCTTTCTCATTCTCTCCATCCTCATCTCCATCCTTTCACCTGTCTTCTCTGTCTCACCTGTCTGTCCACTCCCTGTCTGTCTATCTACTTCCTGTCTGTCTACCTGTGCAGGTTGTTGGGGTTTTTTTTGTCCTACAGAGGAAAGAAAGGAAAAGTGTCTCACCCAGAATGGCCGTCGGTACGAAGGGATCTACCGTCAGGACACATCAGCAGCAGACAGAGACACAAAGAGAAAGACACAGGTCAAAGGGAAAAGAAAAGAAGAAGGAAATGTCAGCCCCCCATATCTGTGTGTACGTATCCAGCTGATTTGGCTGAATGTCGGTACACTCGGCTGAACGTCGGCACACTCGGCTGAATATCAGAACACTCTGCTGAACGTTGGCACACTTGGCTGAACGTCGGCACATTCTTATGAACGTCGGCACACTTGGCTGAACATCAGTACACTTGGCCGAACGTCGGTACACTCGGCTGATTGTCGACACACTCGCCTGAATGTCGGCTGAATGTTGGGACATTCTTATGAACGTTGGCAGACATGGCTGAACATCGGTACACTCGGCTGAACGTCGGTACACTCGGCTGAATATCAGAACACTCTGCTGAACGTTGGCACACTTGGCTGAATGTCGGCACACTCAGCTGAACATCAGCACACTCTGCTGAATTTGAGGACACTCGGCTGAATGTCGGCACACTCAGCTGAACATCAGCACACTTTGCTGAATTTCAGGACACTTGGCTGAACGTCGGCACACTCGGCTGAATTTGAGGACACTCGGCTGAATGTCGGCACACTCAGCTGAACATCAGCACACTCTGCTGAATTTCAGGACACTTGGCTGAACGTCGGCACACTCGTTCTGAGTTCTGGTACGAGAGGACCAGACGTGAGCAGGATTTGAGTGTATTCCAACCAGGCTGTGGTAAGTTTTGGGGATGTGAACCCATTTTAGCACCTCCAGCAGCACCACTCGGCCCAGCTTTGGCAAAGTATTGGCGCCTCACCAATGTCCTTCGACTGATCATCAGCTGACACGTCTCGTTTGATCTGTGTTCACCATCAGACACATCATCCAGATACACGAGAAACTGGAAACATTAACCCCAATAAACCCAGAACGAGGATTATTATTTCCTTTGGATTTAGCTGATAGTGTATACAGACCTTTTCTACAGATGACAGTTTGTGCTGCTTGTATTGATTTCTTAGACTCTTATCTGAAGATGAGAATTTATTTCAGTGAAGATGTTTTTTAGTTTAAGCTCCATTCAGAGTTTGTTCCTGTCGGTCTGCGCTGACGTTAACATCACCTGCTCTGGTCAGTAATGATGACATCCACACTGACCTCCGGTCTCTCTGTGACCTGGCTGCTCCTACTGGACTTTAAATCCTGTTCTCATGTTTTAAAGTGGATTTTTTTCCTTCTGCTGCATTTTATCAGCGGAGACTGAAGGAGGGTGATTGGCCAGCATTCACAGTGTACCCCTGGGAGAAAGACAGCTGCCTCACTGAGATACTGAAGGAACCTTAAAACATGAAGGTTCTAAGGACGTTCTGCAGCGTCTCTCTCTGGTTTTCTAAGCTGATATCTGGTTGTTTGTTCTGGAGAGCAGCTCAAACAAACTGTTCTGTTTGGAAAATAAAAGCGGCGTTGTTACCTGGGTAGTAGGAGTTGGGGACGGTGGTGCTGATGGTGTTTGACTTCAGGGTGAAGGAGGACGGAGACGACACAGCTGGACAGAGAAACAACAGACACAACCTTAATGTCTCCTAAAGACGTGGACATCACTGTCCTGCAGCCACACATGTAGATTAATCCGCCGCTGAAGATAGAACTACTTCCTCCAGCTAAACCCTGAAACAGACTTTGTGTTATTGTTGCTCAACATGTGTCGGACCAGGTTTATTAAAAACCTTGGATTAGATCTCGTTAAGGAGGATGAATATTAAACACCAGCAGCATGAGAGGAAAGCGCTCCAACATAAAGAGAAACAGGAGAAGAAGAGAAGCAGAGTAAGACTGGAGGAGCTCAGAGGAGGTGAAAGCCTGAGGGAAGGTCGACTCCTCCGTCCTCTAAACCTCCATCATCCCTCCATCAGCCGGCTCTCTCCCCTCCGGCTGCCTCTCTGACAGTCCGTCACTTCATGATAAAACATTCGGTCATATCACCTGCAGTCACATCGTCTCTTTGGGTTCTGAATATTAAACTGCAGAGAGCCGCTGCTCTGGAGACCACGGCGAACGGATTATTTATTCATCAGTGTTTACAGACAGACAGACTCTCTGATCCTGAATATTATAGACAGACTTCGTTCATTCTTCTCTTTCATCTCGTGTCGATTTCATCTCAGTAATCTTTTTCTTTTCACGTTCTTCTGTCATTTCTCTGCTCTCTCATGTCGACACGCTCTCACTCGTCACATATGGATGCTGCGTCAACAACCCTGGCGTCGCTTTTTGACGCCCTGGGTAGCTTTGTTTTTGCAAATGTAGGACTCCACGGTCAAGTTAGCAACAATAAATAAAAGTACATTTTAACGTTGTGAAAACATCGTGGTTTGGGTTAAAATAACTATGTGACTTTACTTAAGTTAAGTTACGATACTAAGTAACCTAACCTAACCTACGCATCATAAAACTTTGATTAACCACATGGACCCTGCCACCTATTTCCAGGAAAAACGCCTAAAATAACAAACCCGAAAAAAATCAGTAATATCTCCTCGACCATCAGGCCTAGATGCATAATTCGGATCTCCTTTGATGCAATACAGAAAAAATATATTTTCATCCTCGCCTGGTAAAAAAACCTATACTTTAATGCAATAAACCATCATAAGGTAGATTATAATGCACCTGAATATCTTCTAATACACATGGAACACAACTGTAACTGTAAATCTGAAGAAAAGAAACTGATTTACAACAGTTATTACACAATCTTTCAAAAACATACCAGGCGATTGTCCATGTTTTGGCCATATTTACTGTTTCTATGTTCACTTTTATTGGGAGTTATCTTTAAAACACTATTTCTATAACAATAATAATAATAAATGATTAAAAACAGTCAATATTCCTGTGACCAAAAGCACTCACACGCTTTACAGGCCACAGCTTGAGAACAGAACATCCTACAGGGCTGTAAGCGGTCTTTGTATTGAAGAGAATCAAATCGATTGATATCCTGCATGTCTGTGTAGCTCCTACAGGTCGCCAGCAGAGGCCGATAAAGACCCTCTCCGCCAAAGCAAACTCTTCTTCTCTACTTCAATCTGAGCTAAGGCGACCTCACCAAGATGGCGGCCCGCCAGACGGCCTCTGTTGACACAAAGGACCGCTGTTTTTGGACGGAAAACATGAGAACAACGAAAATCGATGGGCAGGTCCGGTACCACATGGTTAATAGTCCGGGCTTTTATTTGCTAAAATCCCTGAACAGACCCGGCCTATATTTGGGACAGGCCTTTAATTCTTTTCGCAAAGATGTGAAATAGACATCAAATAAATTCTGATAGCAAATAACATATCAATTACAAATCATTCATTTCATCTAGCTCCGAACAGACAGCTTCTTTTATTTTGTAAGCAGCAAGGTACCGAAAACCAGCGTAGCCAACAGCACGGCGCAGGAAGCAGAGACACGTGTGGGAGGAGTTAGCAGACGGAGAACGGACTCATTCAGACTTTGCGACCGCCTCAAAGGTCAGAAGTCACCACAGTTTTTTATCCATGCCGGTGAATCTGAGTGAGTCCGACTTTGCTGTTACCGCCTGTCCACACTGTCTGTCTGTGTTCCTGATCTGAGCAGCAGAAGCAGCTAAAGAGGCGAGCCGACGCCCTTTAAGATGTTTTACACATCCAACTATTTTCAACGTAACTTTTGTCACGTAAAACGTTTGCTTTGTTTTTTTCTAACCTCCATTTTTATCTCGTGTTACTCATCTCATCTGTCTCATTCGTCCTCTCTTTGTGTTGTCTCATCCTGTTTGTCTCTTCTTTTGTCTCCTCACACCTCTCTCCTCTTGTCTCACCCGTGTCCCTCGTCTTTATTAACTCCTCCCGTCTTTTCTCATCTCGTCTCTGTAAGTTAAATTAAACGTGTACTCACTGCGTCCGTTCAGCGTGTGCGTGTCCACCATGGTTGTGTGTTGGGAGCTGTTGACCATCAGAGTCATTTCCTGTCTGGAGCTCAGAGTTTCCTTCCTCTTCTTCGCCAACTTCCTGTAGAGACGGGAAACAAACACACAGCAGTAAGTCCGTGTCACTGCTCGTTGTTTTCTGGGTGTGTTTACAGTGTACACAGAACACACAGGGCCCCTGAACGCACCACCAACCTAACCTGCATGCAGTGTGGCCTTCACTGACCGCGGGACGCTTCACCTCAGCCGTTTTATCTTCACATAAGACGCAACACATCTCACCTCCGACACCTTTACCTGTTCGCCATCACCGCCCTGCTGGTGATGTGTTATAATAATGATAATGAATCCTGAAAAGTTTATGAGACAGATTTTATTATTTGGCTGAAAACCTTGAAGTTTGTCCGAGCATTTCAGGGTTAAAGGCGCAACGTGAACGACTTGCAAGATGGCCAACAACATTATTTTAGGGACCGAGCAGTTGGGGGCCCAGCGGGTGGGGAGGCAGCAGGGACTGCCAGAGGGCCTTTACAGTTGTGTCTGTTGGCGACTGGTGGCAGAGACGCTGTTAGAGGTTCTCTGGAGGAGCCGGGAATCGAACCAGGAACCTTCCGAGCCCGTTACTAGACGACCGCTCGACCTGCTGAGCCAGAAAACGTTCCTTTCTGTCTGTTAAGGCGGCACGAGCAGATTATAATATGATTTATCTCAGTTAAGGTGGAATGATTAGGAGTTTATTTTCATGTTAAGGTGGTATTAGAGGGCTCTAAAGTTTGCATTGTAGAATTTTAAGGAGTTTAATCTGTTTTAAGGTGGTAGTACTTTAAGGTATTTTATTAGTTTTAAGGGTGTACGGTCACTAAGGTGTCATCAGCAAGTTGTAATTTTTTTTGCATTTAAGGTGGTATAAATGGAGTTATGACTTTCTTTGACTCCATTGCTCACTAAATGGTTCTAAATGGTGTGTTGTCTGTCTGTTAAGGTGGTACAAGGAGATTACAAGACGTTTTATTTCTGAGTTAAAGTGGTGTAAGTGAGCTTTTTAAGGTGGTATACGGGGTTGTGTTTTTCTGCTAAGGTTATTCAGTAGGAGTTTAAGGTGGTATGACTGCTGGAGTTGCTTTAATGAGCTGGAACTAAAGTGGAGATGGGACTGTGAACGTTCTGCTGTAATTGCGGTTGTAAATTTAATAAAATTAGTTCTGCTGTTAAAATATATGAGCCAGAAAAAAATCACACACACTGTCTGTGTGATTCACGTCCGATTCAGTGAGAAACACTGAGCATCTTGATCAAACTCTTTCCTGTTTCTCTGCTCTGATCTGAGTTTTTACAGAAAAGGAGGCCTCACACAAAGATCTGGATCCAGAGGATCAGAGCTGCTGCAGGGCTCCTCCACAGTCCGTCAGTGTTGCTGATGACCGACAGCAACAAAAATGGATTTTTTGCAGCGATCCAGGACTGTCGGACCTGTTATTTGGAGAAACGTCTGAGCAGGAATTCTGCCTCATGGTGCTGCTTCCTGCCCGCAGAACATGGCCACTGTCTTCCATACCGGTTGGAGAGTAGCAGGAGTGTATCTGTGAAATAACAGCACCAGAGGAGTATCCTCGAGACTGTTAGAGCCAGCAAAGGCTTCATGTGACCTGCAGGCAGCTGTGGATGGAAAAGGTCTTCTCTGTGACGTGTGTGTTGGCATGAACCAAGAGTCCTACACCATCACATGTGTGGGAAGTCAGAACAAAGTGACCGTCTCAGGCTGTGACGTTGGGCATCACCTGACCCGGCACGCCTCATGACGCCCTGTTCGGATGCTGGCAGACTGACCCTGAACACCGAGAGACGTCTTTCTGGAGATAAAGAGGACGATGAGAGGGCTGCAGGCTGGAGCCGTGTGCTTCGTAACGTGGTTTCACTGCAGACAGGAAACATCCAGCCTCCTGTTCAGCCATCACAGCTCCACCACTGAGGGGGCGGGTGCTCTCGTGAATCTGAAGCATGTCTGTTTAGATAATCGGTTTATTTCTTTATGTGTCCGAACAATAAGACAGTCGCAGTCAAATATTCAGACCTCCACAACTAAATCATCTGTCATCACTAACACACAGAAGTTATATACTAATGATCTAGAGCCGAAACCATTAGTTATTTAATAGGTTATTGTGTTAATCAAATAATCATTTCTTCCAAATAAAACATTGTTTCTTCTCAAATGTGAGAATTTGATTATTTTTATTTTCTTAATATTTATATCTGCTTGAGTTCTCTGTCTACATCTCCATTTAAACTATTTATCCTTTCTGTCTTATCTCTCTATCCATGGATATTTCCCTCTTTCTTTCTACCGATTAGTTTTCTCTATCGCCATCCACCTCTGTCTTTAAATCATCTCTGTACATCCGAATCTCTATGTTTATCTTTTCCCTCCGTCCATCCACCTCTTGTATAACCACTGCAGAGGAAAAAATTCCATCTTTAAACTACAAAAACATCCTTTCATCCTCCCGTCTGTCCATCTACCGTCCTCTCCACACTCACTCACGGAAAAACACTCATTTTAAAAGCTTGATGTATTTTCTCTCTTTCTATTCCGAGTGTGCGAATAAAAAAACATCCATTTGTCCGATTGCTCACAAACACACACACACACACACACACACACACACACACTGGAAAGTTTAAACCCTGACCTGAAAATGGAAAAGGAAAAAAATATATATAAATAAATATTAAAAAAAACAAGCTTTTAAACTGAAAGTAAGACATCAGTGAAAGCAGCTGTGTGTGAGTTTGTGTGTGCGCTGGGGTTAAGATGGAGGACGGTGAAAGCGCCCTGAGGCGACGCTGCCCTCCTCCTCCTCATGTCACCTATTTCTTCTTCTGTGGTTCAGTCAGACTGTAAAAACCTGCAGCGTTTCTTCTTCTCTGATTCAGACCTGAACACACAAACTCAGAGAGAGTACATCTACAACACAAAGTCTGAATTGGCTCTACAAACGTGTCTGGTTCTGGTTATAAGCAAACTAATTGAGTCTGTTTGGACTCTTTTGTTTCAAAGTGTTTCAGACCAAACCATAATCTACCCTGAAGACTACAACTACAACTACACAAAGTCACACCAAACAACTACAAACTCAAAAACAACCACAGAGACAACAAACAACTACAAAGAGACAAAAACAACCACAAAGAGACAACAAATGACTACAAAGAGACTCAAAACAACCAGAATGAGCCCATAGAGAGAACAAATGACTACAAACACTAAAAACTACCACAAAGAGACAACAAACAACCACAAAGAGACTCAAAACAAACACAAAGTCACCCCAAACAACTACAAACTCAAAAACAACAACAGAGACAACAAATGACTACAAAGAGAGTCAAAATAACCACAAAGAAACAAGCAACTACAACGAGACTTAAAACAACCAGAATGAGACCATAGAGACAACAAATGACTACAAACACTAAAAACTACCACAAAGAGACAACAAACAACTACAAAGAGACAAAAAACAACCACAAACAGACTCAAAACAACTACAAAGAGACAACGAAGAACTACAAAGAGACTCAAAACAAACACAAAGAGACTCAAAACAACCGCAAAGAGACAACAAACGACTACAAAGAGACTCAAAACAACCAGAATGAGACAACAAACGACTACAAAGAGACTCAAAACAACCAGAATGAGACCATAGAGACAACAAATGACTACAAACACTAACAACTACCACAAAGAGACAACAAACGACTACAAAGAGACTCAAAACAACCAGAATGAGACAACAAAAAACTACAAAGAGACTCAAAACAACCACAGACTACAAAGAGACTTAACAACGTTTTTATTTCCCTTATAATTAACTGAATTCTCTTCACACTCTAAACGTTTTGTTTTAATTTCCAATAATAAATGATTAAAGCACAAATAAAAATGTTTCCTCGTTTTTCATCTTGTCAAACTGTATTTCTGTCTGTATACGCCTCTCTCCGTTACCTGTAGTGCCGAGTCCACCTTTCTGACTCCAATCAGCTATCCTGACCTTTGACCTCTGCCCCCTGCACCCCCCAACACACACTATAAAGACTTGAGTGAATAGAGAGAGAGCAGCAGCACGTAACCTCACAATACCAAGAAAATCCTGCAGCAAAACAGCTTTTATATGTTTTCATGTTTGATTTGAATGGAGACTCACTCTGTGTGTGTGTGTTTCATGGCATTATCAGCGAGGTGTCGGGGGTTGACTGAACAAGCAACACTCAACATGAACACACACACGTGCATGTCAAGGCTAATCTATGCTAATCTAATGAGCGACGGCACAATGCTGTTAGCGGTAATGGATGTCAGAGTGTGTGTGTAGGTGTATCTCTCCTTGTAACAATCATTTGATCAGACAGGTTTATTACAGCCGGCTAATTCTATTAACCCTGCTCCACTGCGCGCACACACACACACACACACACACACACAGTAAATCACAGATCGGCCTCCTTCAGGAACATAAAACTGACTCTGTGAACAGGGCCGTCCACATACTTTTGGCCGTGTACCTCCTGGAGGTTGTGTGTAAAGTCAGAGTCTAGTTTTGTGTTTGAAGGTTAAACAGTCTGACATCTCATAAACCTGTTCACTGATATACTATCTTCTAATATGGATAAACTGGAGCAGTTTAATGTGTGTGAGTCGGTGTGAAGCTGGAGTTTCACACAAACACTCTCGGCGACCTGAGGAGGAGTGTGTGAGTACTTCCTGTGTCCCTGAGGAGATAATTCAGCTCTAACCTGAAGGGAAACTCAGGTTTCTCTCCTCCATCGCACATTTTTATTGATCACTTTTCACACCAGAGTTTTAAACAGGAAACAGAAGTGTCCAATCAGGAGTAGGAAACTGGAGGCACGGAGTCAAGCGACTGCAACGTTAACCACATATAGATGCAGCAGGTGAAAGTGAAGCGAGCCAAAGCAGATCGATAATGCGTTAAAGTCAGATACAGAGGTGTTGAAGCTGACTTACAACGCTGCGGCGGCTCAAAGCCAACTAAACAGACTGCTGAAGCACTAAGTCAACCAGAGAAGAGACGAATCCAGCTAACGCACACTAAAGTTAAACAAAGAGCAGACCTCAAATCAGAGAGAAGCCACCTGAAAACCCAACCCGTTCTCACTACCAAGTCGTCACTAATGGACGCATGATCAAGACCCGTTGGTGTCAGCCCTGGAAGCCCCTTAGCTTCATAGTTCAACGCAGTGGGGGAAGCCCTGTAGCGTCGTTTATGAACATAAAGGTGGGATTGGTGCCTAAACCTGACCAAGTAGTTTTGGTGCCTAAACCTGACCAAGTAGTTGTGGTGTCTAAATCTAACCAAGAGATTTTGCTGCCTAAACCTGACCAAGTGGTTTTGGTGCCTAAAGTTGACCAAGTAGTTTTGGTGCCTAAACCTGACCAAGTGGTTTTGGTGTCTAAACCTAACCAAGTGATTTTGCTGCCTAAACCTGACCAAGTAGTTTTGGTGCCTAAACCTAACCAAGTGGTTTTGGTGCCTAAAGTTGACCAAGTAGTTTTGATGTCTAAACCTGACCAAGTGGTTTTGGTGCCTAAACCTAACCAAGTGGTTTTGGTGCCTAAACCTGACCAAGTAGTTTTGGTGCCTAAACCTGACCAAGTGGTTTTGCTGCCTAAACCTGACCAAGTAGTTTTGCTGCCTAAAGCTGACCAAGTGGTTTTGATGTCTAAACCTAACCAAGTGGTTTTGCTGCCTAAACCTGACCAAGTGGTTTTGCTGCCTAAACCTGACCAAGTGGTTTTGCTGCCTAAAGCTGACCAAGTGGTTTTGATGTCTAAACCTGACCAAGTGGTTTTGCTGCCTAAAGCTGACCAAGTGGTTTTGGTGCCTAAAGTTGACCAAGTGGTTTTGCTGCCTAAACCTGACCAAGTGGTTTTGGTGCCTAAAGTTGACCAAGTGGTTTTGGTGCCTAAACCTAACCAAGTGGTTTTGGTGCCTAAACCTGACCAAGTGGTTTTGCTGCCTAAAGCTGACCAAGTGGTTTTGCTGCCTAAAGCTGACCAAGTGGTTTTGCTGCCTAAAGCTGACCAAGTGGTTTTGATGTCTAAACCTGACCAAGTGGTTTTGGTGCCTAAAGTTGACCAAGTGGTTTTGCTGCCTAAAGCTGACCAAGTGGTTTTGCTGCCTAAAGCTGACCAAGTGGTTTTGATGTCTAAACCTGACCAAGTGGTTTTGCTGCCTAAACCCGACCAAGTGGTTTTGGTGCCTAAAGTTGACCAAGTGGTTGTGGTGCCTAAACCTGACCAAGTGGTTGTGGTGCCTAAACCTGACCAACATGCAACATTAACCACTAGTTTAAATTTGAAAGTCTAACCTGGTGTTGCATATGTATTGTTACTTACTTGACTGCCGAACCCTACACGTCCAAAAATGACACTAAAGGGTACCGAGGGAGTTAAAAAGCAATGGTCTTGACCAAGCGTCCATATGTAATGATTTGGGAGTGAGAATGTGTTGGAAAACCAACAGAGGGACACTTAATCTAACCAGCACCAGGGGAGGGAGGGGGTAAAGGATCAATGGTTAAGTGTAAAGGTACAGGTAAAGACTTGCGGTCAGGTTAGCTAAAGGTAAATGCATGGTTAGGGGGTCAGGGGTCACAATCAAAAGAATTGCTGCATTCACCTCACATGGGATGATGTCATCAAGATGGTTGCATGAATACACAGCTGGTCATGTGGCAATTAAGCTGCTGAGCTTTGACAATACATGAGACTCTATCCATTACATTTGGGTTTACTTTGTAGAGTGATACAAACATCTGACGCCACCAGCCTGATCTAAAGCTTCCATGTTTGTATGCTCAGCACCAAGTCGGATAAATCAGAGTTTCCCAGTCGCAGTTACAACTTGGAAGTTGACATGAATCCTATTTACAAGTTAGAAACTCGATATTCTGATGACATGAAATGAGGGCCCGTGTCCACCAAAGCATTTTTTCCTGAGGCCAGAGTCTTTTTTCAATTAATTGCACTGGGAGCAGAGCATATTTGCAACATGTTAAAAATGCTAGCAGGGTGACGAGGGCGTCTATTCCACACTGGGCGTTAAAAAATGTTCAACTTTGGGTGAAACGCAACGCTCGTCAATGTCAGTTTTTACCTAGCCGTCCCATCATAGTGCAGGAGGGCCGGGACAAACGCCACACTGAGCCATCTCAGCTCTGGAACGAAACAATGTGCCTACTTGCCAAGTTATTTCCTCACCCGCAAAATCTCATGAACCCACGTACGGCGTGTCCGTCCCCTCACTATACATGTTTCAGCCTTCTTTTCATGCAGAGCAAGGGCCAGAGCAAGTAGGCCCACCCTACTTTGTGGTGACATTTTTATATTCAGTAAAATTAGGTTGCCTACTTGCAGCACATCACCTCTACGGATATTATGTATCATATCATATATCTATCATATATATATGTATCACCCGAATATCATATGGCATTTTCAGCTGGTAAAAAACACTTTGGTGGACACAAGCCCTAAGACGTGTTAGTCAACATAGAGAGCTGGTGTAAGTCAGGGGCTAAAGGGCAGGGGTAGAAAGGGTAAACAAATGGGTTTAGACTCGCACTAAAAGTCTATTATTCGGGATCGGAGGTTCAGGGGTAAGCAGGGGTCAGTGGTTCAGGGTCAGGGTCAGAGCTTTGGGGTAAGCAGGGGTACAGGATCAGGGTCAGAGGTTTGGGGTAAGCAGGGGTACAGGGTCAGGGTCAGAGGTTCAGGGTCAGAGGTTTGGGGTAAGCAGGGGTACAGGGTCAGGGTCAGAGGTTTGGGTTAAGCAGGGGTACAGGGTCAGGGTCAGAGGTTCAGGGTCAGAGGTTTGGGGTAAGCAGGGGTACAGGCAGAGCTCAGGGTTTCAGGTGTTTCAGGTGTTCTGATGTTGAGGTGAAGGGTCAGAGGTTAAACAGGTTACTCACAGGTAGTAAGTGTAGGAGTGATAATTTCTTCGTCTGAGTGGTGTGGGCGGAGCAGAGGGAGGGATGGAATGGAGGGAAAGAAAAACAGAAAAACAGAAAAAGGAAAAACAACAGATTAATGTCTTGGAGAGAAAAACAGAACAGATGAGTTAAATTATTCAGTGTGGAGGTGGAGGAGCGGAGCTTGGTGAATGGCTGGCACAAGGTGTCAGTCAAAGTGTGAGGGGAGGGGACACATTTGAGTTCTGGTTCCTTTGTGTAGACGCTTGTAAAAGATCCCGATCCTGAGGGTAGCTATACACCCAAAGTCCACTTTATTAGGTACACCTGTCCAGTCCAAGACAAGACAGACTCTTCATCAATCAGCTCGGCCGTCTGTCTGCAGTCCGAGCTGTTCTGGGATCTTATTTCCAACATGGCTGCTGTCAAAAGAGCTGTTAGAAACTAAAGTGAGTTTGCTTTAATATTACTGCAGTAGTATTTTAATACTACTGCAGTATAACATAAGGCTCGCCTGCAGTCAGGTGGCCGAGCTGCTCATGAATGATCAAGAAGGAAATCGTCCCCCAAATCAACAGTTTAGATTTTTATGTTGTTGCACAAGATAATGACTTACAAATAAAACAATCTTAACAACAACATAACTTATAATACACAACATTGGTACATTCTGCTGGTACTTCTTGTTTACTGTGTAACAGAGTATTTTTACTTTGTGGTACTGCTACTTTTACTTAAAGCTGGGGGAAGTAATGTTGGAGAAACCAGCTACAAACAGCTCTAACAGAACCCCCCCCAAAGTCAATACCCCAAAACCAGCAATTCTACCTCCCAACTGATCACATATGGACACTTTGTCAAGACCCCTTTTTTGTCACTTTTTAACACCCTGGGTAACCTTTAGCGTAATTTATTGACATTTAGAGCTCCGCGGTCAAGTTGGCAACAAAAAATATGCATCGTCTGGTGAGACTGTCATAATAATAATAACTACTTGTTAACAAAACAGCACGTGATTAACATTGTGAAACATCAAAAATTGGTGAGCTTCAGGTTTGTTTTTTTACATTTACATTTATTCATTTTGCTGACGCTTTTATCCAAGGCGACTTACCACTGCTATATATGTCAGAGGTCGCAGCCTCTGGAGCAGCGAGGTTAAGGTTAAGTGTCTTGCTCAGGGACACACTGGTGTCTCACAGTGGATTCGAACCCGGGTCTCTCACACCACTTCGTCATCACCACCCAGAAGTATTTCTTCAGTTATGACGCTAAGGGGCTCCCCAGTGCGTCACACACTGACGGGTCCTGACCATGTGTCCATATGTGATGAGTTGGGAGTGAGAACGAGTTGCCAAAACACATTTTCATGTGCAGTGAGAGCACGCCGGCAGACGGGCAGGTAGGCCAGCCGTGCTTAATACCGGCCTGGCAACCACAGATACAGATTTTATTCATGTTGTGACAGTGTTTGATTTATTGATTGCTGTCAGACACTTCTGAAATAATCTTTAAAAACAGAATGTGAATCCTTTCATGAACCAAAGTCTCCATGAAGACAATAACATGACCGTGTTCCCACATATTCAAACGTCTTGGTGAGTGCCAGGACTACTTTATCCCTCTGTATCACTCCACTATCAGCTGTTTCAGGGCGTAGGAACACGCTGCGCTACAAAAACCCTGATCACCCTGCAGCCAGCCAGAGTTTAAACACGCAGCTTCCTGTTTTCACTCCTGCTGTAATGAGTCTGACCTCCATCTGCTCACAGAGTGGAAATCAAACGCACCCCATCAACATTAAAAAGCTCATTAGAGACCGAACAACCACCTCTCTCTCTAATATCTGTTAGAGAGATCAGAGCTCGATCGACCGACAGAAGAGTCCGACTGAAGCTCCATGTTGTACCGACACACACACACACACACACACACACACTCTCTGGCTTTCTATAAATGTGTGTGTCTGTAGCCTGAAGCCATTCAGCTCGAGGCGACTGGAAAAAAACAAAGAATAAAACGCTCTTTCATCTAAATTTCTCTCTTATCGTCGACGTTCTCCAAACACAGAAGCTTTTCTCTCTGCGTTTAAGTGTGTGTGTGTGTGTGTGTTTGTGTCCCAGCGGGGTTGTGTGTTTGATGTTGGAGAATAAAGTCGGTCCACATATAGTTTAATGGTGATTACTGCTGCAATCTGCTCCATTATTCATCCTCATCATCCTCACTGTCACTGAGTGTGTGTGTGTGTCTTTGATGCAACTTTATCTGCAGTAAAGATATAAACATGTAAGATATTATAATACCAGCATTACAGTATTAGTACATCAGAAGTACTGAAGCTGTAGTACTATTACTACTAAGTGTACAGTAACTTTAATATCTTAATCCCATCATGTGATTCCGAAATCTGTCAGAAACCTTCGATGTTGCTGATACAACAGGTCAGTATCACGTCCACCCGGACCCCAGAGCTTCGGGTGTCTTACTTACATGTTGTGTTCTTAGCTTGCCAATGTTAGCCACGGGTAATGCTACATTCATAAATGTTGATTTGTTGCTAATTATTCCACAAGGAGCTGAGCTGATCACATGACACAACAAGATGCTTCCTGATGTGTCAGTAAAAGGTGACGTTGCACGTTGTTACCATGGCTGTGAATCCTGTCAGACTGTCAGATGTTATAGGTGGACATGAAAACGTCTAAAAACAGGAGAAACTCGGGGAAACTGAGCTGTGAGGCGGTGGGAGTGACGCTAAAGCGATTAGTTCGTGGTTACTTCCTTATGATCCATGCTGATAACAGGTATCCAAGAGAAGGTTGCATGTCTGAGCTTCTCTACGGACTGCAGGTGAGACCGCAGTCAGCTCGGCACTCTGCGATAGGCTGCTTGCAGTCACGTGACTGAAACGACGCTTGACATTCAGAACAAGGCAGGCTGAATGTGTGAAATGGACGAAAGCCTGGACAGTGCTGGTTATTGTTTACTCGTGTCATTCCCGGCAACATGGGTGACATCTGGAATCGTCCAATTCATTCTTAAATTATGGCTTTAGGGCTAAAGTGTCATTTGGTCAAACCTCCCCTTCTCCCGGCTGATCGGCGGTGTTATACAGTAGTTGCACTTGGAAGTTTTACGGTTGAGAAAATGTATTTCCAAAGGAAATGTCTGATGGCAGGTAAGCGCTAAAAATATTCTAAATAAAGCGTACACTCGAGCTGATGGTGGGCCTTCTTTCAGGTGGTTAAAACATGTGAGTTGCTGACCCAGTCCACAGCAGCTCAGCGTAGCTTCAACTCTCCGAACCAACATCTACTGCAGGCAATAATAAGTAACTCATACAGCCCCACTTCCCGTTTACTGCCAGTTCTTGTTCTGGGTTTCTGGTCAATACAGCCGGGACATTAACCAAACCACTAACCTGCCATTATCTAAACCACCATCCAGCAAAAGCTTTGACTCATGAGGAGCAGAAAGACAAGCAGACACCTCATTTAAAAATTGACTGAAGAGAGAAAAGCTTCTGAAAGCACACAAACAGACCTTCTTTACTATAGTGTGAGTATGATATTCTTACCGTTTCTTCATCAACAGAATGACTCCAAGGAAAATGATGATGAAGAGCAAGATGCCGGCGATGCCTCCAGCGATCTTCACTGTGTGGTCCGACTGTTTCTCCTGTTCTGGTTCTGGTTTCCTGGTCGCAGCTCCTGAAACCATTAACCAGTATTCAAACATCACACATCACTGCTATCTTTAACAAAAATAATACTTTTTACTTTCATTAACTGCCTTTAACTACCGTGACCAAGAACTGCCGTTAACTCCCAGCACCTGAAACCATTACCCAACACTAACTGCCTTTAATTACCGTAACCTCCCAGCACCTGAAACCATTACCCAACACTAACTGCCTTTAACTACCGTAACCTCCCAGCACCTGAAACCATTACCCAACACTAACTGCCTTTAACTACCGTAACCTCCCAGCACCTGAAACCATTACCCAACACAAACTGCCTTTAACTACCGTGACCAAGAACTGCCGTTAACTCCCAGCACCTGAAACCATTACCCAACACTAACTGCCTTTAATTACCGTAACCTCCCAGCACCTGAAACCATTACCCAACACTAACTGCCTTTAACTACCGTAACCTCCCAGCACCTGAAACCATTACCCAACACTAACTGCCTTTAACTACCGTAACCTCCCAGCACCTGAAACCATTACCCAACACTAACTGCCTTTAACTACCGTAACCTCCCAGCACCTGAAACCATTACCCAACACTAACTGCCTTTAACTACCGTAACCTCCCAGCACCTGAAACCATTACCCAACACTAACTGCCTTTAACTACCGTCACCTCCCAGCACCTGAAACCATTACCCAACACTAACTGCCTTTAACTACCGTCACCATGAACTACCGTAACCTCCCAGCACCTGAAACCATTACCCAACATTAACTACCTTTAAGTACCGTAACCTCCCAGCACCTGAAACCATTACCCAACACTAACTGCCTTTAACTACCGTAACCTCCCAGCACCTGAAACCATTACCCAACACTAACTGCCTTTAACTACCGTCACCTCCCAGCACCTGAAACCATTACCCAACACTAACTACATTTAACTACCGTAACCTCCCAGCACCTGAAACCATTACCCAACACTAACTGCCTTTAACTACCGTCACCATGAACTGCCGTCACCTCCCAGCACCTGAAACCATTACCCAACACTAACTGCCTATAACTACCGTCACCATGAACTGCCGTAACCTCCCAGCAACTGAAACCATTACCCAACATTAACTACATTTAACTACTGTCACCATGAACTGCCGTTAACTCCCAGCACCTGAAACCATTACCCAACACTAACTACCTTTAACTACCATCAGCATGAACTGCCGTTAACTCCCAGCACCTGAAACCATTACCCAACATTAACTACCTTTAATAACTACAGTTACCATGAACTACTGTTAACTCCCAGCACTTGAAACCATTACCCAACATTAACTACATTTAACTACTGTCACCATGAACTGCTGTTAACTCCCAGCACCTGAAACCATTACCCAACACTAACTGCCTTTAACTACTGTCACCATGAACTGCCGTTAACTCCCAGCACCTGAAACCATTACCCAACATTAACTACATTTAACTACTGTCACCATGAACTGCCGTTAATTCCCAGCACCTGAAACCATTACCCAACATTAACTACCTTTAACTACTGTCACCATGAACTGCCGTTAACTCCCAGCACCTGAAACCATTACCCAACATTAACTACCTTTAAGTACCGTCACCAAGAACTACTGTTAACTCCCAGCACCTGAAACCATTACCCAACATTAACTACATTAACTACTGTCACCATGAACTGCCGTTAACTCCCAGCACCGGAAACCATTACCCAACATTAACTGCCTTTAATAACTACCTTTACCATGAACTACTGTTAACTCCCAGCACCTGAAACCATTACCCAACATTAACTGCCTTTAACTCCCGTCACCATAAACTGCCGTTAACTCCCAGCACCTGAAACCATTACCCAACATTAACTGCCTTTAATAACTACTGTCACCATGAACTGCCGTTAACTCCCAGCACCTGAAACCATTACCCAACATTAACTACCTTTAAGTACCGTCACCAAGAACTGCCGTTAACTCCCAGCACCTGAAACCATTACCCAACACTAACTGCCTTTAACTCCCGTCACCATAAACTGCCTTAACTCCCAGCACCTGAAACCATTACCCAACATTAACTACATTAACTACCTTTACCATGAACTGCCATTAACTCCCAGCACCTGAAACCATTACCCAACATTAACTACCTTTATCTACCGTCAGCATGAACTGCCGTTAACTCCCAGCACCTGAAACCATTACCCAACATTAACTACCTTTAAGTACCGTCACCAAGAACTGCCCTTAATTCCCAGCACCTGAAACCATTACCCAACACTAACTGCCTTTAACTCCCGTCACCATAAACTGCCGTTAACTCCCAGCACCTGAAACCATTACCCAACATTAACTACCTTTAAGTACCGTCACCAAGAACTGCCCTTAATTCCCAGCACCTGAAACCATTACCCAACATTAACTACCTTTAACTACCGTCAGCATAAACTGCCGTTAACTCCCAGCACCTGAAACCATTACCCAACATTAACTACCTTTAAGTACCGTCACCAAGAACTACTGTTAACTCCCAGCACCTGAAACCATTACCCAACATTAACTACATTTAACTACTGTTCCAATGAACTGCCGTTAACTCCCAGCACCTGAAACCATTACCCAACATTAACTACCTTTAAGTACCGTCACCAAGAACTACTGTTAACTCCCAGCACCTGAAACCATTACCCAACATTAACTACATTTAACTACCTTTACCATGAACTGCCGTTAACTCCCAGCACCTGAAACCATTACCCAACATTAACTACATTTAACTACTGTCACCATGAACTGCCGTTAACTCCCAGCACCTGAAACCATTACCCAACATTAACTACCTTTAAGTACCGTCACCATGAGCTGCCCTTAATTCCCAGCACCTGAAACCATTACCCAAAACTAACTGCCTTTAACTACCGTCACCATGAACTGCCGTTAACTCCCAGCACCTGAAACCATTACCCAACATTAACTACATTTAACTACCTTTACCATGAACTGCCGTTAACTCCCAGCACCTGAAACCATTACCCAACATTAACTGCCTTTAATAACTACCTTTACCATGAACTACTGTTAACTCCCAGCACCTGAAACCATTACCCAACTCTAACTACATTTAACTACTGTCACCATGAACTGCCGTTAACTCCCAGCACCTGAAACCATTACCCAACATTAACTACCTTTAACTACTGTTAAACGGTTACTGTTAAGTATTTGTGCAGAATACTAATACTGCTAAAAACCTTACGTTAACCCTCTGAGGACAAACACCTTAATTAAATAAAAGCTGCCTGTACTCTGGATATCATAATAAATCATTCATTATTAATAATATAACATTTGGATTCATCAGAATATTGATGAAGGTGTTGCAGCGCCACCTGCCACACACTGAGATTGAAGGGGAGGTGAAGACGACGTGTGACGGACGGAGGAAGAGTCCTTCTGACTGAATAATGTGACGGGATGAAAAACCCATTACCTGCAGGGTGTATGTGTGTGTCCAGGTGTAATATCCTTCCAGATGACTCGGTAGATGAGAAACGTTCAGTGTGTGAGTCATTTTAGACCTACAACACTTTCCAATTCAGAACCTGACAACAGCCATCAGTCACTGTGTGTGTGTTACTGTGTGTGTGTTCCTGTGTGTGTGTTCCTGTGTGTGTGTGTTACTGTGTGTGTTACTGTGTGTGTGTTACTGTGTGTGTGTGTTACTGTGTGTGTGTTACTGTTTGTGTGTTACTGTGTGTGTTACTGTGTGTGTGTTACTGTGTGTGTGTTTCTGTGTGTGTTACTGTGTGTGTGTGTGTTACTGTGTGTGTGTGTTACTGTGTGTGTGTTCCTGTGTGTGTGTTACTGTGTGTGTTACTGTGTGTGTGTGTTACTGTGTGTGTGTGTGTTACTGTGTGTGTTTTTCTGTGTGTGTGCTCCTGTGTGTGTGTTACTGTGTGTGTGTTTCTGTTTGTGTGTGTTTCTGTGTGTGTGTGTTACTGTGTGTGTGTTTCTGTGTGTGTGTTTCTGTGTGTGTGTTTCTGTGTGTGTGTGTGTTACTGTGTGTGTTTCTGTGTGTGTTTCTGTGTGTGTGTTACTGTGTGTGTTTCTGTGTGTGTGTTTCTGTGTGTGTGTTACTGTGTGTGTGTTTCTGTGTGTGTGTGTTACTGTGTGTGTTACTGTGTGTGTTTCTGTGTTTGTGTTTCTGTGTGTATGTGTGTTACTGTGTGTGTGTTACTGTGTGTGTGTGTTACTGTGTGTGTGTTTCTGTGTGTGTGTTTCTGTGTGTGTGTGTTACTGTGTGTGTTACTGTGTGTGTGTGTTACTGTGTGTGTGTGTTACTGTGTGTGTGTTTCTGTGTGTGTGTTACTGTGTGTGTGTTACTGTGTGTGTGTTTCTGTGTGTGTGTGTGTTTCTGTGTGTGTGTTACTGTGTGTGTGTTTCTGTGTGTGTGTTACTGTGTGTGTGTTACTGTGTGTGTGTTTCTGTGTGTGTGTGTTACTGTGTGTGTTTCTGTGTGTGTGTGTGTTTCTGTGTGTGTGTGTGTTTCTGTGTGTGTGTGTTACTGTGTGTGTGTTACTGTGTGTGTTACTGTGTGTGTGTTTCTGTGTGTGTGTGTTACTGTGTGTGTGTTTGTGTGTGTGTGTTACTGTGTGTGTGTGTTACTGTGTGTGTGTTACTGTGTGTGTGTTTCTGTGTGTGTGTGTTACTGTGTGTGTGTGTGTGTGTTTCTGTGTGTGTGTGTTACTGTGTGTGTGTTTCTGTGTGTGTGTGTTTCTGTGTGTGTGTTACTGTGTGTGTGTTTCTGTGTGTGTGTGTTACTGCTCTCACTGGTGTTTCATGTATTTATGACAGCTTTAAACCAGTTTAACCAGTTTAGTTTTACCCTGGTCTGTCTACAGAACCAGAACCAAGCCAGGACCCGGCCCGGTTTCACCACTTTAGTGTGGTCCAGTGAGCTGAACTGGTTTCCCGTGTAATAAATCTGCAGGCCGACACGCTGAGACAGTTTTCCTTATTTTCTCAGTTTTTGTTTCGTCTCTTCAAGGTCAGACGAGCTCGACTATCAGCTCCTCTTTATCGTTTCATCACACACACACAGATCATCGCCTCCTCGGAGGCAGAGAGCTGCTGTTTTCAGTTTAAAGGCTGTGAAAACACCGCTTTGAAGACAGAATGTATCTGTGTGTGAGTGTGTGTGTCGCAGTAGGCCACGGAGAAGCTGTGCTGTATGTGAGAGTGAAGCTGTTTTCTGCTGCGGGGCTTCAGCCAGTCACACTGAGTGGGAGGTGTGTGCGTGTCAGGCGAACAGCTGTTAAGTGTGTTTGAGGCCTGCTGGTGACACACACACACACACACACACACGCATGGCGTGTGTGTGTGTGGAAAGTTTCCACCTTCAGGCTGGTAAATATTTAAATGTAATTTTCTACGAGCTGTGAATGAAAGTGTGTGTGTGTGTGTGTGTGTGTGTGTGTGTGCGTCCCACCTGTCCTGCTGTCTGTTGTAGACGAATGAAAAGAGGATAAATCTCAGACTGTCCACAGACACATCGCAGTACCAACGTCACCATTTTCAGAATTGAATCACACATAAATATATGTATGTGTGTATGTGTGTGTATAAATACACACACATACATAAATACATACATATACACAGAGACGCAGCTCGCCGAGCTGACGAGCTGCTTTAAAAACACTTGGCGTCCTGTTTGCAGAGTCAGACAGACGCGTCCTGAGAATCATCATGTTTTTAACTTTTCTTCAGGCTAACCTCACGTCTACCTCGCTGACTCCATGTTAACATCATACTTCCTGGTGGGGGGGGCAGTAGCCAGTGCGGTCATGCAACAATTGCTTAGATGTACACGCGGGTCCTGGACTGGTGTTGTAGAAAGTGGTATTATTGAAACAGTTAATTGGGATTAATCAGACGTACTAATTGAACTCGGACGCCATTCGTCCTGTGATAAGCACCGAATTACAAATCGTCCTTTGATTAGAAAGGGTTACGAACACAGACCTGTAACGTGAGTGTGTGTTTCTGACCTGTTAGCTGCTTGTCGCCAGCCGCCGGCGCGATGCGAATGTACGGCGTGGTGAGCTGGGTGACGATTATAGCGGCTAATCATCCAGGAAGGCATGCAGAGAGAGAGAGAGAGAGAGAGAGAGCAGCAGTTTGTACTGAAGCAGGAGGATTAGTAACATGCAGCACCGTCCTGCTGTCCAGGTTCTTTGTTATATCGTCTTTATACTTCAGAGGTGGGGCAGCGGGACATAGTTTAGTTTCCAGAAACAGACCTGAAAGAGAAGCTCGTTAATCAGCCCACCAATCAATCAATCCATTAATCATCAGACATGAGCAATCAAACAAGAAGAAAGAGCAGCAGCCGTTCAGAGAGAGGCGGCGCAGAAATCACAGCTGTTAGCTTCAGTGCTAACTGTTCAATAACACCAAAAACATCTGACACACGGCCTTTATATAAAGAGTGGATTAGATATTACACACCGGGTGTATGTTAGCATATGTACACATTCAGGTCAGTATCTGCTTTGTTTGTGCTAAGCTAACGTGTAGCAGACACACATGTGTTTCTGATGTTGGTGGATCGTGCTGTTCACTACACACCCCTGTGTATTTATGAACACATGGATTTGACATGTTTTAATTTAAATGAATTTTAAAACAGTTTTTAGGCTGACGATGTAACTGTAAATGTCCACAAAGTACAGATGGAAAATAGTCTTTTGGGGATTTTTACATCAACATTTTATTCATGGGTACTGTCTCTGCTAAACGAAACTGAATAAATAAAATAAAGTTTAACAATTTCTATTATATTATTATTTAATATGTACGATGGTTAATTAATTAATTCCAATATAGCCACGCTTCAGATATTATAGTGAATATAAAAACACATGCTGTATATTGAAATAGTTGTTCTGTATACTGGTGACACTGAGATATACTGTATATGTATTTATGTACATCCAGATACGACAGAAAGGATTCATTTTGTCTGTCGGCTCCCAGATGTGTATTTCCTCCCTTTGGTGTGGTGACACGTGAATTAACGGTATGCGTGAGGTGAATGGGATTGTGGGACTTTACGTGTGTGTTTCAGAATAAAAGGAAATCATTCAGCGTGAATCTGTTATTTCTTTGTGTTAAACTGTCCAGTTAACATTCAGCAGACGTTCAGCTCTCCTTTACATTCACATCAGCTCCGCTCACTGTTAGCGCTGCAAGGCACTGTGGGTACTCTGAAAGGGAAGAGTGGGGGGCAGGACCCCCCCCTGGGAGATCTGGTTGGCTGCTGCAGCATGACTGACAGGTGCCAGGGGACCAGCAGAGCCAATCAGCATCTGGTATCGTTAGCCACCAGAACTGTGCTCCAATAAAAGCTGATTAAAGCCAGAACAGTCAATTACTGTGTGTGTGTGTGTGTGATAATCCTGGATGTTCATCGGGGAGATGACAGTGTTTTAGCTTGTTTAGCTGCGGCCCTTAACAGCTCTCTGTACAGCCATAGTCCCAGTCATTAGCCTTGTGTTAGCCTAGCGTTAGTGTAGTGTAGTGCAGAGTTAAGTGTGTGTTTTATTTGTGTGGTGTGTGTCCGTCTGTATGCAGACAGACAGAGTGAAGGACAGGTGTCAGGGACGAGCAGCCATCTGTGAGCCATTATACTACTGGATGGGAGCAGAGCGCTAACCATTAGCCTAGCGCTCCAAGAGCTAACTGCCATCTGTGTCTCATTACACAGAATGGACTGGCCGCTGCCTGGCTAGCTAGCGGCTACTTTAGTAGTTAAATCCAGTCCAGCAGTCAGCACAGTTCAACAGGGACTCAGCAGAGACCAGAAACTGGGGCAAAACAGCTAATGATGCTAACCTCAGTGCAAAATCAAATCTCCTCTCCACTTGACAAAATAAAATGTTATGGAATAACTTTTAAAATAAAATGGTATTGAATAACTTTCAATGTAAAATATTATAAAATACTTGTAGTATTTGAAAAGTAAATTATACCCAAATACTGTCACAATAAAATGAACTCTGTCAGAATTAAACTATTCTTTACCTTTTAAAATCCAATTCACTGAAAGCATTTCAAAATAAAATGTCCTCCTGTAAACATCAAACTATTCCATATTTACACATTTCAGAATAAAATATACTGTATAAAAAACCTAACCCAAATACTCAACATGATTTCAAAGTAAAATGCACTTATATTTCAAATTAAAATCTTATAATAAAACACACTTCTGTCAAAACTAAATTAAATGTACTCTCCAACTTTCAGAACAAAGAAATGAACCCCTTTTAAAAATAAAATGCATCATACATATTTAAATGACACAAACAAGATTCAGTATAAAGTGTAATCTACAGCTTTCAAAATAAAATCTACTCAAAACTTAAAAAAATGGAATACTATTCAACATCTTTCAAAATAAAACAGCATCTTTCAAATTAAAATATACCCCAAACATTTTTAAATGAGAATCATGAAATCTGTTTAAAACATTGAAGCATAAAAAATACATTCACTTTTCAAAATAAAATGCTGTCTTACCTTTAGTGGCCACCCGCACACAGTCGATCTTTGTCTCCTGTTAGAGAGAGCAGCAAATTAGTTTTCTCTCAACACAGATGCCGACATATTAGGTTTCACGTCTGCACACTTTCTCCAGAAACACACACACACACACACACACACACACGAGCGTCGTAAACAGAGCGGACAGAAGGAAAATGGCTGTGGATCAGTGCCTGTGCTGGCATTTAACAAGCAACACACACACACACACACACAGTGTTTTTGGTGAAAGGCGAGAGCGAACATCTTGTGTCTTTCTGGTTTTAACAAACAGACGACAAATTAACCACAAGAGCTCATGAATATTCATGCTCACACATACACACACACACACACACACACACACACACACACACAGCGGTGGTGTGTCTCTGCGGTGTGGCGACAGTAAAAAGCACTACTGTCGCTGCATTATTCAACACACACACACCAATTAAACCTCCCAGCGTCAATAATTAACAAACAACATTGTGTGTGTAACAGTGAACAATTATCTGTTTTTACACACTTACGTGACAAAAAACCACACACACACACACACACACACACACACACACACACACAGACACACACACACACACACACACACACACACACACACACACACACACACACACACACACACACACACACACACACACACACACACACACACACACAGCCCTCACTGCAGCCTATTAGTGTCTCTGGTCAGGCTGCTGGAACTATCTCCACTCCTATTAAACTGTGTGTGTGTGTGTGTGTGTGTGTGTGGTACAGTGTGTGTGTGGTACAGCGTGTGTTTGTAGTATACGTGTGCACGTTGTCGGTGTGCGACCTCGGTCTCTGTGCGTTCCATGACAGAAAGAGTGGCGGGAGCCGTGGAACAATGTGAGCCCTTTGTTGTGACATACATGTGTGATTCTGTCACAGGGCTGATGGCGAGCTCGGCTGCACGGTGTGATTGGATGTCTTGACGCCTGTCGTTTCTTTGAACAGAATTCAGCCACTGTTTCCTCCGTAATAAACTATTTGTTTCTCTGCTCTGCAGGTTTTCAAACTAAAAAAAGCTCCTCAAGGCTGCAGAACCTGAGAATCTTTATGTTTTTAAGATGTTTTCACAGTAATCCGGTGATAGCTGTCTGTACATCCATGCTAACTGCTAACAGCTGACGATATCAGAACTGTGATGTGTGTACGTGTTACCTGTGGACAGGTGAACTCACCCCGTTAGCAGTGCTAACAGCCTGGTAGTAGATCCCATAACTCTTATGAGGCAGCAGAGGAGCGTTCCAGTAACCGCTGTAGGTCCTGTTATCACCTGCACACACACAGACAGCCAGGCACAGGTAACACGTTACCACAAGGCACACTTCTGAAACTAGCATACTAACTAACTAACATTGTAGCTGTCTAACTAACTACATTTTATATTTACAACTAACTAACTAACAAACTAACCAACTAACTAGCTAACCAGCAAACACATTAACTAAGTAACAAAGTACAAATGTAACCAACTAACAAACTAACCAACATTGTAACTAACTAACTAAGTGTAACCAACTATCAAGTTAACTAACATTGTAGCTGTCTAACTAAGAAACCGTTCCGTTTAATAAATGAACTAACTAACTAACACAGTAGCTGTCTGAAATACTAGTTAGCTAACAAACTAACGAATTGACTAACATAGTAGATGTCTCACTAACTAATGAATGAACTAACACAGTAGCTGTCTGAAATACTAGTTAGCTAACAAACTAGCGAATTGACTAATATAGTAGATGTCTCACTAACTAATGAATGAACTAACACAGTAGCTGTCTGAAATACTAGTTAGCTAACAAACTAGCGAATTAACCAATATAGTAGATGTCTCACTAACTAATGAATGAACTAACACAGTAGCTGTCTGAAATACTAGTTAGCTAACAAACTAGCGAATTGACTAACATAGTAGATGTCTCACTAACTAATGAATGAACTAACACAGTAGCTGTCTGAAATACTAGTTAGCTAACAAACTAGCGAATTGACTAACACAGTAGATGTCTCACTAACTAATGAATGAACTAACACAGTAGCTGTCTGAAATACTAGTTAGCTAACAAACTAGCGAATTGACTAACATAGTAGATGTCTCACTAACTAATGAATGAACTAACACAGTAGCTGTCTGAAATACTAGTTAGCTAACAAACTAGCGAATTGACTAACATAGTAGATGTCTCACTAACTAATGAATGAACTAACACAGTAGCTGTCTGAAATACTAGTTAGCTAACAAACTAGCGAATTGACTAACACAGTAGATGTCTCACTAACTAATGAATGAACTAACACAGTAGCTGTCTGACTAACATACAAGTTAACTAGATAACTAACTAACTAGCTGCCTGTGTGAGTGACTGACCGATACAGAAGGGCATCGGCGCTCTCAGCTCGCTCATCGGCAGCTCTGCGCTGAAGTAGTACTGGGAGTTGAGCAGCGTGGCGTTCTGGAAGTGAATGGGCACCGGATAACAGCGCAGGATCTCTGCAGTACCTCTGCGCTGCCTGCGGGGGCGCTCCTCCTCCACCACCACCTGGTACTTACTGCAGACAGACAGAAACAGGTGAACAGAGTTTCTTGTCATTAAAGGAAAAGTCTGGTTTATTTCACCCCCGGGCTTATGTTGGTAGTTTAGAGTAAAATTACAGAGCGATAAAGTAAGTTAATATCTGAGATCTTTGAATGTGGTGACATTAAAGAGCTCTGAGATAATAACTCTTGTGGTGATTTTGCACTATATAAATAAAACTGAACTGAATCTCAGTGACATAACTAGCAGGCTGTAAACAAAATTCCCAGTTAAAGTAACTGCAAGAGAATTATTAGTTTTTATTATTAGGTAGATAACTCATGGGGTAGTCAGTTAACTAATGACTTAGGCAGCAGTCAGTTAGTTAGATAGTAAACGACTATCTCAGTCGGTCTGTCAGATAACTTACTTAGTAAGTTAGCTAGTATGTTAAGTTGTCATTTGCCTAGTTAACAAATCGGTTTGTTAATGAGTCAGTCGGTCAGTTGGTTAGTGTCACGCTGTACCAAAAAGGTGTGGCGTTTGAAGGACGTGGCTGTTTACCAGGCTCTAATGAAAGACACTACCCAGGTGCATTATGGGAAATGTAGGAGCCACACTGTGTACAGTAACATTTGGACCATTCTGTTTTTAACTACTTTATGGACTTTTTAGCTTTGAGTTTGAGGGGCTGGAGACTATTGACCGGTTTTCTATTCCCATACAACTCGACACATAAAAGTGTTCTTGCCTTCTTCTCACCCATCTGTTGGTTCATTATTCAGCTCCACAGAAAGGTCAGCTCTGTCTCTCCTCCGCTCCATCACTCTCTCCTTCATTTTTATTAACTCTCTCCATGTACAGGCTGTGACTTTAACAGTCTGACATTAAACTGATAATTCACGCCGTCCTGTCTGTGCAGGTATTAAACCCTTCATATGGGCAAAGGACAGAAAACAAGTGGAAACAGAGAGTCTGAGATCTAAATGAAAAACCAGACTTTTGTTTGTCAACTGATAATAATGGAAAATAAATTTAAAGCAGAATTAGTTCCCTAAAGGACAAGAAAGACCAGCTGTCGGTCTGTATGGCTGAAAAGAGGAGTACTCGTGAACGGTGCTTGTTGCCCTGGTGATTCAAAGCTTCCTGATGACTTCCGTTGAGTTTCATTAAAGTTTCAGTCTCCTGAGCAAAAAGAGAAGATAGACTGAAGATCTAGAGAATTTTATGGCAACTCTAACGACTGGTACCTCCACCAAAAACTCTATGTACGAAAAATCTACAGACTCTATGAAAACTCTACAGACTCTATGAAAACTCTACAGACTCTACAGACTCTATGAAAACTCTACAGACTCTATGAAAACTCTACAGACTCTACAGACTCTATGAAAACTCTACGGACTCTACAAACTTTATGAGAACTCTACAGACTCTATGAAAACTCTACAGACTCTACAGACTCTATGAAAACTCTACAGACTCTACAGACTCTATGAAAACTCTACAGACTCTATGAAAACTCTACAGACTCTACAGACTCTATGAAAACTCTACGGACTCTACAAACTTTATGAGAACTCTACAGACTCTATGGACTCTATGAAAACTCTACAGACTCTATGAAAACTCTACAGACTCTACGAACTCTACGAGAACTCTATGAAAACTCTACGGACTCTACTGACTTTATGAGAACTCTACATACTCTATGAAAACTCTACAGACTCTATGAAAACTCTACGAGAACTCTATGAAAACTCTACGAACTCTACTGACTTTATGAGAACTCTACATACTCTATGAAAACTCTGCAGACTCTACGAACTCTACGAGAACTCTATGAAAACTCTACGGACTCTACTGACTTTATGAGAACTATACATACTCTATGAAAACTCTGCAGACTCTACGAACTCTACAAGGACTCTATGAAAACTCTACGGACTCTACTGACTTTATGAGAACTCTACATACTCTATGAAAACTCTGCAGACTCTACGAACTCTACGAGAACTCTATGAAAACTCTACGAAAACTCACCAGACTCTACAAAGACTGACCATGAAAACTCTGCTGACTACGAAAACTATACTGACTCTACAAACACTCTACAGACTCTACAAAAACTCTAGGGACACTACAAAACTTTATGGATTCTACGAACACTCTACTGACTCTGCTTGTAAAATGAAGGCTCATTACTATGGTTTTATATTTCTCTGTAATGCAGCACAGCGTTAATACTGTTACTGATAACATTCGGTCTCAGCCTGGAACCCAAACCATAATCTGATGCCCCAAAATATTTATTTTATATCATAAACGTGCGACGGCTAGTCGACTAATGGCTTGAACTAACGAGTGGGAAAATCTTTAGTCGAGGCAGCCCTAATGGAAACTCTACCAACTCTATTTTACAGCCTCCTTTACTTTACTGATTCTGCTGACTCGATTAAACTCCACTGACTGAATCTAATGACACCAAAGACCAGTCAACAGCAGAGGGACACTTTTCCACCAGCAGGTGTGTTTGTAGTCCACAGAAACACTGGGCTGCACCTGAACGCAACACAGTGACTTTCCACACAGTGTTTGTGTCCTGAGGGACGCTGGAAACAATAGTTGTGTTTTTCACGAGGGAACCAGATTCAGGACAGAAGTCATATATCACAACACACACACATCGAGGATGTGAACGGTGAAACTGCTGTATTGTCATATTTCCTGCTGGACAGGAAACTAAAGGAGGACAGGAAGATGCACACACAGTAACACACACTGCGGTATTGTTTAATCCCCACAGAAACGAACAGAAAAGATTCAATCATCTGTCTTCCACCGCCTTCTGCTTTTCTCTCTCTTTTCTTTCTGGTCGTTCTCTCTCCTCCCCCTCACTTCCCTCTCTCTGTCTCCCTTTATCTCTTTTTCTTCCTCTCTTGCTCTTTGACAGCCCGTCTCCAATCACATTTCTCCACGCTCACATCGCAGCACTTGTTGTTGTGTGTGTGACAGTAATCTGATTACAGCTGCAGGTCGCCCGCAGCAACACCTTTTGTCCTGCAATCCGAGGCTCTTATAAACCAGAGTGTGTGTTGGCGTGTGTTGCACAGTGTGTGTTAGTGTGTGTTGCACAGTGTGTTGCACAGTGTGTTGCACAGTGTGTGTTAGTGTGCCCGAGGGCCGACACTCACTCTGATGTCAGAAGAAACAAAAGCAAAGTTAAATATAAACACACAAACATGAAATCGTATCTCCGAGCAGCATCTGTTCAATCTGATGGATTTCACATCAGCTATCATGTCAATTAACACAGTGCACGTCTCTCACACAAACTCTTTACATCTCCGGTCTTGTTCCTGCACAAAAAGAAAAACATAAATCTGGATTCGCTTGAAATGATCCATTTTGTTCTTTTCAGTGGTCCACAAACACCACGGCCAGCCAGCGTGTCTGCATGCGTTTTATATAAGCGCTCTGTTCTCCCAGGCCACCTGAACATCCCACCAGCTGCCCTGTTTGTTTTTTCTTATCGATCTCTCAAAAGTGACAGAACTCCCTCTGAAAGACTCTCTGCTTCATCAGGAATATCTGACCTGACCAACGTTTGGAGAGAAAAGCCGAATCAGTAAATCATTTTCTGTTATTCGCGGGAGCGAGGAGCCGACGGGAAGTCAGAGGAAGTCTCCAGTGAGCATGCTGTACGGGCTCAACGACACAGACGCCTGAATTATTGATGTTTCTGACATATTCCATCACAGGAATGAGTCGGGCGCCACCTGGAAAACATCAAGTCACCTGTGGATGGTGGAGGAACGTCTACAGGAAGATCTTAGACAGCAGAACTGCACAGTTTGATTAACAGCCGCATCATTTACATCTTTTATACCAATATTATTTTGAGTTAATAAAGTACACTACAGCTGCCTGTTATTTAACGTGGATGGTCACTGTCATATGTACACGCTTCTTGTAAAGTGCGAGCTGGGATGAACCCACAGCGCAGCAAAGCTTTAGTCAGTCTAGATCATCTGTAGGAAATAAAATGAGCTCATCAGCACGAGTAAAAATGTATTAAGGCCATTTAGATGTATGATTTAGTTGATCTTTTATTGTAGGTGGGGGGTAAGCCTCAGACCTGCTGCCCCGTTGAGGGATGGTCTCTCCACACGGGTGTAAATGGCTTCTTTCACTCCTCCTTCAGACCAGAAAATGAACATTGTTGTCCTAAACGAGTGTCCTTTGTCCTTCAGATGAAGGTAAACTGCTGTTTCAACTCAATTTAACCAGAAGCCATGAGGCCAAAGTGAACGTGTGTTTATTTTCCAGGGGCTCCAACAACCACAATGATCGGTACAACAACCAGGAGCGCTGAAGAGCCAGCGGTATCGATCATCTTGACCCCACAGAGGTTCATGTTTCCCCACCAGTCCGTCAGGGTCCAGAGGCCCTTGATTTTAACCTTGCTTGGACAGAACGCCATGATGCTCGCTGACACGTGGCAGAAAGTTTAACTCTTCTCTGCAGCATTAATAAGATCCAGTTTACGTCCTCCTGGAGGATCCGGCTTGGTCTCTGTGTGTAGAAACTCTAGTATCCCTGACGACACACAGAAACTGTATATTATATACGGGCATTCCCAGGTTTCTTCAGACGTCTGCGCACACAGCAGGACTCTGGGTGTTAGCTTGACAAATATATTGTGTGCTCCCTGAGAGCTCGTTCCACCACATGAAAGCTGCTATTGTTCTAAACTGTCATTAATAAATAGAGACGAACTGAAGCGTGTGCGTTTCCCGTCACACACAAAAGGCAGCGCTCAGTGTGTGCGTGTGATTGACACATTAGCTGTTAATCCCTTGTTAATCCTCGGTGTGAGCAGCAGGCTCTGATTAGCCCCGCCTGCTGATCGTTAATTAACCAAATCCCTCGTTACAGCCAACGACGGAGAGCAGACAGCTGTTGACATGACGACTGTTACCGCGGATACTGCCTCCCTCTGGGTGTGTCAGCTGTAAAAAGTTTGTGCTAACAGTTGTTTTAATTGTCTCCATTTAAAGTTTAGACTACAGATTCAAAGATGTCTGAAGTGGTCTGAGCGTGTTTTAGTGCATCCTTCTGTATCAGTCGGGGTTTTCCTGCCAGTTAACACACAACAACACTGTAAAAGAAAAAAGATCCAGAGTTTCCCCATTAAACCGCAGGCTCCTGAATTCTTCATCATAATATCTGGAAACACTTGAACGTTTCATCACTTTCATTCTGTGTGAAAAACATTTAATAATGAAATGACAAAACTACGTCGTTCTCCTTTGTTGTCTCTGTCTCGCCTAATTGGCATATTGGCACTTATCATATCTTCTTCATACCCACTCTTTACTGTACTGACCTCCCTCTCACCTCACACAAACTGTACATAGACTCTCTCCTGCGCTTTGTATTGTTTCAGACTCTTTATTGCTTTTTGTTCTTCGCGTATTTAAACGACATGTTGTCCTGCACGCCCTGATCTTGGCCAGGTCGCCGTTGCAAATGAGAATCTGTTCTCAGTCGGTATCTTAAATAAAGGTGAAATAAAAAATTAAACTTTTCATTTGTTTGAATATGCACTCGTACTCTTTAGCGTGTACAGCTCCTGTAAGCACTTTTAGTGTCACTGAGGCCTTTTCCTGGTACATGAAAGAAATATTCAGCAGAAGATAAAGCCTCGTTTTAAAGGACGGAGTGTTTTAGTTCCAGTTTCTCCTTCAAAGAGATTCATGTCACATTTTAATGTTTAACGCTTCAGTCATGAAAGCTTCATGAAGCTGAAGACTGATGCTGTGAGTGTTTGTGTGCGAGTTACCTGACTGGAGCTCCTCGGCTCTGAGCTGGTTTCAGCAGGACCGTGACAGAGGAGTCCGTCTGATTGAGAGGAGACTCCTGATCGTACGCCGGCATCAGAGGAGCTGAGAGGAGGACAGAGTCCGTGTTACAACATGTTCAAACACAAAGAAACTCAAAGACATTTCGTCCCTCATTTGAGAGACTTCTTTGGTTCTGACTGACTGGCAGGGAGTCCCAGCTATTTAACCTCTGTGGGTACTGGTCCACCCCAAAGACCGCACACCCAAACACAAGAAAAGCAATCTAGTGTATGCGGTCCAATGCAGTGAGGAATGCACAGACCTGTATATTGGGGAGACTAAACAACCACTACACAAACGCATGGCTCAACACAGAAGGGCCAACTCCTCAGGTCAAGACTCTGCAGTCTACTTACATCTGAAGGACAGAGGACACTCGTTTGAGGACCACCAGGTGCACATTTTAGACAGAGAAGATGGATGGTTTGAAAGAGGTGTCAAGGAAGCATCTACACCAGGGTTGAGAGACCATGTCTCAACACTGGAGGAGGTCTGAGACACCACTGATCCTCCACCTCTGATGGATCCAAATGAACTGACAAAATAAGAGGTTTGTCTACTTCTTCTACAACAACACTAACAAGTCTGATCATTGTTCCGAACTGTTGCTAAGCACTGCGTTAAGAAGAGACACTGAAACATGGTTTGGGTTAAAATGACTGCTTTGTTAAGGTTAGTGATCAGGTTCGGGGTCAGGATTTGGATTGGGATTAGGATCCGGTTTGTGATCGGGGCTGTGACCAGGATTGGGATTAGGATTAGGATCGGGGAAAAAGGCACCCTTACTTTGGACTGAGCTGTTTGACTTTCCAATAAGAAACATTAATAATAGTCAGAAACAGAGGCTGTGCATAGATTAGGGGTCCCCGGGGCTGGCACATTGGTAGACCCTTCAGGACTGAGGTAACCAGTGATGTGGTTTGGACCCTGTAGAGATCTAGTTTTGTGCCTTTGAAATTAACACTCCTATGACACTCACCTGAGATCTTGGTGGTGAACTGGGTGATGACCGGGGGTCCGAAGCCTTTAACTGTTGACGCTCTTATTGTGAAGGAGTACGTGGAGCCTGGGTAGAGTCCGGTGAACACATGGCTCGTCTCATTGGCCGGTTTGAACACCTTGCCGCTCTGATTGGACAGGTCGAACTCTGTGTCGAAGGAGCTCAGTGCTTTGTAGGAGATCTGTGGAAAACAACGTTAATGTCTGGCTGCTTCACAAGGGATTGTGGGTAATGGAGTCTGTCTTTACCTGAATTCTTTCCTTCGTTGTTGTTTGCTTTCTTTTTGTAAAAATGATTGTGTCAGTACTTGCAAACCAAAATAAAAACCTCACCTCGTACTGCCGGATGAGTCCGTAGGTCTGCAGCGGTTCTCTCCAGCTCAGACTGATCTGCTGCTCATAGCTGCTGCCGAGGATTGAGTCCACCGGGACGGCTCCGGGAACTGAGACAGAAAGATTTACAAACTTCATCTACCTCCAGGTTCAACACACTTTAAAGTCTCCTGTTCAGCAGGTACACAACACGTCCAAGTCCTACCGTCCTCGTCCGTCAGCACCAGCAGCTCCTCGCTCTCCTTGCGTCCCTCGGGGTTACTCAGGACAAGTCTCAGGCTGACGTTGGTGAACGGTGGAAGGTTACGTACGACGTGCTGCGGCACGGTGCTCAGAGTGTCGTACACCACCTCCTCCTTCACCGGCTCCCTGCAGGAGAGACAGGGGGAGGTGGGATGGGTTAATTTACCTCGTGGCCCCTACTCTTTTCGCCTGTCACCCCTCCGTGAGTAGCCCCTCCCCATGTTTATCTGCTGGCTTGTCAGCCCTCCATCTGTGACGGCCCCTTCCTTTAATTTAATATATAAATTACATTTTTAATCTTATGAGGAAATGTAATGTTTGCTTTTATGCAGATGACAAAGTGTTGTACACGGCAGCTCCTTCTCTTACACAGGTTTTCCAGATGTCCCTCATAGATCTTTGTTGGTTTTAAATTCAAATAAAACTAAGTATCTGGGAACAGTGCAGATTCTTTTAAATTTACCACAGTGGAAAATTCAGTTTTAGAATGTGTTTATTCATACAAATATGTTGATATCTGGTTAGATACTTGAGTAGGTAAAAACAATTAAAAATCAGATTTGTTTTTTTTTTACAGAAATAAAACACGCTTATGATCTAAACATAGACGTGACATTGTTCAGGCCACTTTCATGTCGGTGCTAGATTAGGTGATAATACATAAATGCATGCTCCGGCTTCTGTTTTAGAAAGTCTGGACTCTGTTTCCCAAGCTGCTTTTGTACTTGCCTATTCTGTACGTGTTTAACTTTCTTTAAACAAGATTGTTCGTCTAGTTGTAAGTTTACACTCTTTGTTTTGTACCTGTAATCCAGGGCATCTCTGTAAATGAGCCCTTGGTCTCAGACAGGATTTCCCTGTATAAATAAAGAATTAAAAACTCTCTGAGTGTGCCGGTTGGCTTCTCCTTGACTTTACCTGTGGGCCCTGATCTTTTCTACCTGGCCCCTCCCTGTGTTTACCTGCTGGGGGCCGCTGCAGGTCTGTAGCGGTACTGTACAGTCAGGTTGTAGCTGTAGCAGCGGGTCACATTGTATCCAAATGGTTCCCATCGTACCGTCACCTGTTTGGACTGAATGTCGACAACCTCGAGGCGCCGCGGTCCGTGCATCGGATCTGACAGACAGGAACACAAAGACGAACACATATTTAGGTCTCAGATCAGTCTTTCTTGTGACTCTATATGTGGAAAGACCGGGTCCTGGACCTGGGATGGTATCAGCTGGAGCTTCACGGCCTAGTTTCAGCACATGTGATGATACAGAGGATGGGCTGTTCTGAGTGGGTCAGACTGAAAACACTTGCCTTTATATACTGACGCAGGTGCTTGTAATAGTTAATTGTGTTCTTGCTGTCAGTTAACCAGCTTCAGGTGCATCAGAACCTCCTTCTAGACTGGAAGAGAACCGACTCCGGTTTACACGTAGCCAGAAAACAAAGACTGAGGCGCAGATGTGTCAAGAGAAAATGAAAGTGTCTTAAATCTCATCTGGATTTTATCTGGATCTGACACAGAAGTGGAAACGAGGCCTTAAAAGTCGGAGACCGCTCAAATGAAGGTTTGTGATTAAACCCGTCTTCCTGTTCTGGTCCAGATCCACTAAATATTTTCTCTCATCACTTATTTAAACTGAAAAACAGGCTGAACCTCCTGATACAGATCCTGTCAGCAGCTCAGTCACGCTCTGCTGACGTTCGGCCGCCACTCAGTCAATCAGCAGGCGGTCTGAGCTGAACAGGTAACACTCAGCATCTGTCCTGATCTCCTCCATGCAGACCGAAGCATCTTCAGCACTGTTTAGTCAACACGCTGAATCCCACAACACGGCACATAGTGACCGTGAATCCACCCGGGGCTCAGCTGGCTCGACCGGCGACATGAGACCAGAAGAAGACCTGATCACTGAAATGGTTTCTGGCACCAAACATCAAGTCATCGCCTCTTACCTTCTTTTTATAAACAGCACAAAGACGTGCTGTTGCCTTTAGGCCCAGGACACAAATTTAAAGGTATTCATAAAAATCTCTAAAATGGACTGGAGCCATGATTTATAATTTGTTGTTTCACATCATCCAAAATGTTTTCCAACAACTTTCAGACCAGAGACATCCGTCCTTTAGATCAGGGTAACGGTGCGTCTCATTGGTCAGTGGTGTCAGGTCTCCTTTGACATGCCTCAGCATTGTGGCTTTTTTAAACCCACTCTTCATCGCGATGACAAGGAAAACCACCACAAACCCTCATTTATTAGTGTTCAGAAAGCAGAGACCTGATCCATAGGGGACCCAAGTGAAGTCAGTCCTGGTCCGAACAGACCAGGACTATTAGACCAGATCCAGACGGTCCCAAACGTATCTGCGGGGTTCCTCGGGTTCAAGAAGAATCACTTCCCCTCTGGAAAAAATATCACAACTTAATAAAGTGACATCATCAGAGCTTTGAGTCACATTTATTCTTGCTAAGCTGACAGCAGAGCGCTACACGTCCAAACACGACGC